CCTGGCACCGGGGGAGAAATTTGGCATGGTGGAAAAAATGCCGACGACAAGCGGCATGACACTATCAACATGAACAGCAATGCAACACTGTAGCGATCTACCCGGAGCAGAGAGGGCGCTGGTTATTGAAGGGAGGAGAAGGTGAAAACCCACTCGATGCACCAGGATGCCCCGAGCCTGAGCAGGAACCAAAAAACTACCGAACTTGACGTTAAGTCAGCAGAAGACGCTGATCCAACGACGGACGCAACCAACACCAGTCTACTCAAGAAGTCAAGCTAATGGTGCAACATTGGAAATACCACGTCTTCAGGGCTCTTGGACCGAGTTACTCGCAGACTTCGTCTCCATTCCGGATCTACTTGCCGACAGAAAAAGACTAAAAAGTAAAATGAAAATCAAATAATTTTGATCATCATAATAAGAGTGTACTTCGTCCTTGCGCACGTCCTGTAAGTCGTACCTGGACCTCCATGAGAAGTTCCCAAGGGATCCTCTCTCAACAATACTACCGTATCTGCACCACACAGACACCACTCGTAGCACGAATTCGGCGATTCTCTGCGCCCGTACGAGCCGTCCACCCAGAATCCGACGTTGAAGAGAAAATTCCTTCCCGAGTCGAATCGGAATTGCTCCTTCCCGCCCAATCGAATGGGCAACATCAATTCAAATGTTTCAGCCTCTCAGCGAGAAAATTTTTTTTTATCATCAACAGAGCTTCTCTATTCGTAAACACCCCACCCTTCCTTTTGAAGTCGACATTGGGGCGTTCTTCTCGAGTTGTGACGAGTCTCATTGTGAGAGTTTTTTCCTTTTCGTTTCACAGCTTTCACATAGAGTTGCATTTCTCATGATCGTCTCCTTGTGAACCAGGTTGCATGCGCATCCTGTTCGAGACACCAAAGAGGATGGGGGGGGGGGGGGGGGGAACAACCCGCCACGCCATACGAAACACTACTTGAGAGACAGAATACATCCATTGCGAGAAGTATATTGAAGTACGAAGTAGTAGCCCGCTAGTATAAGGCTGATCTCCCCTCAATCAATGCTTTCGACACTTGAAACCTGGTAGTGCTCACACAAGAGCTCTCTTTACCCGTAATGCCGATGTGGCGATACCATCCTGCCGCTGCTTGGTGCTATACATGTGTAAGTACGATAACCTGGTCCACGACCGATCGTTATGCGCCTGTGAGAAGCATTACTGGGGCTCCCAAAGATTTCTGTTATGCTCCATGCATGCAAATCGATCATGCTGCGAGCGAGGCGTTTTTACGACATTGCCCCCAACGCCCGGCTTTCTTCTCACGGGGTGCTTCGTACCGCCTCTCCTCTGACAACAAGCACCAACTGAAGCAAATATTAGTTTAGAACAGAATCGGAAAAGGAAGGTTTCCAACTACGGGGTACCATGACATGGTATACTTCGTATGTTCAAGCTCGAAAACCTATTTTGCAGCGCGACATGGCGGTTCTGTGGCTTTCGCCGGTGCGTTTCAGTCTCTTCTCGGTGCGACTTCTCGGCGGGCTCAACCCGACGCCCCGGAACCGTCGTTCCCCTCAAAGCCAACTCACCAAACTGCACCTCCAGGCCATCGTACGAAGCTCGGCCGGTGCCAGTTTTAACTCTATTTCAACATACGGAGTATAGGCATCCCTTCCCCATGCCAAAAATGCAAGAAAGGTTCGAGAAACTGGGAATCGTACCACTGGGAGACCAGCAGAGAGTCGCATTTGCGATATTACCGAACTGACGGACAAGGAAGAAAGAGCAAACTTGTCTTCCACGTCCTGCAAAGTACGAAGTAAAACGGGGTGAGAAGGAGTGGTGGTAGACTCTGCTGTCACCGTTCCACTTGCTTAATCCGGAACCGGTGTCCGACCCACCCGGTGGAGGAAACTTCGGGAGCTACTTACGCCTTTCGGAAGTTTGCCCCGGGGTTGCCACGCGAGAATTCCTCTTTCTGCGAGACACCCTTGTCTAGTCTGGGGTTCCTGGTCCTTGCTCCCCGCCTCCTTATTGCGTACGACAGTGATAATGCACACTCCATGCGTACGGAGTACGAGGAACGACGGCGGGTTTCTCGAGGTCTTGCAGTGAGTGAGTGGAAATGATTTCCTGGGATCCTATTCTGGGCTCTGATGGTTCACTCACTTTCGTACTTGGTAGTTTGGTAGTTTCTTGGGTATCATATAATCCTTGCAGTCACAGAGCTTCATTCGTTTCTGACAAGTGCTACTGCAACACAGTCTCTTACGATGGGAACTCCTTTCTCCACTACACTATGCTAAGACGTGAATTGTTATCACCGGGTTGGTTTTTCTCTCGATTTCTGCCGTGTGTTCTTTTCATCGCTATGATCCTATGAACCACACCATTGGAGCACCATTGTAATCCAAGCACGAACAGGTCGCAACGAAGGGCGGACACGCACAGCTCCCGAGTTGCCGTGTCTAACCAGGCCCTGGTCAAGTTCTCCCGTCAGAGCGCGAAAAGAGTGGAATCAGGGCGATGCGACTCTGCTCTGTGCTTCCAGTGAGCGGGTACCACGTCTGAGCAACTCATTTCCGCCCACGCATTTGCAGAACGCGTTCTGGGTTCTATTTTCCAATATATTTTTTTCGTTATTTTTTCGCGTCTTTTTCCTCCCTCGACAGGGGTGGGACAAGCGACATCGACTGGCTGTTTGCCGGTCGAACATCAGGGATCGCGAGGGAGTCACACGCGCCCAATGCACAGCATTGATGGATGATCAAGACTTGAAGGAGGAGCATCGTCACTTCAAGTCACAAAAGCGGTACCTGAAGTCTGCGTTAGGCTCGGGCTAGCTTAGTTAGACCTCAAAAGCGATCGATTGATGGCCCGATTGCCTTTCCCACAACGCCTCCAAGTTTCAAACCTCGCAAACCGTCTCCCCACACTTTTACGAAGTAAATCGCCTTTCTGCGAGACACGGACCCATTCTTCTTTGCTTTCGTCGAGGACGCAAATGGCGCGTGGTGCCCCATGCAGTAGTATCGCATCATCCCCGCATCGTTGTCAAATTCCTCATCTTAGATCTTCGACAAAAGAAGAAGAGATTGCCTCCCGGACCCGGATCTATTGCTGAAGACAAGAGACACCACTAATGTCGGCGGAAGCTCCTCTTCGAGGTAAAGTGTGAAAGCTAAGAAAAAGAGAACGAGGTACTTGTAAAGCAAGTAAACCAAGAGAGGGTGAGTGTGAGTGTAGTGAGACAAGGGAATAGGAGACGCTATGCCCCAGTTGGTTCGTTAGGCCTGGCATCTACCACACCCAAACGTGTTGGCAGGTCTGTCTGTACACTATCGTACCTCATTCGCACTTCATCAGTCGTTCAGCACCCCTGGTTTTCCCGAGATCTTCTGGTGGCCTTACCTCTTCTGGGGTAACCAACCCTATTGCCGCTACCCCATCATCGCTAATTTATCCTAGCCTGGGAGATGGAGGGGATGGGAGGAGAAGTGTGTGACGAGGTATCTGACGATGCATGATGGGGAATGCTGGGGAAGGCTGGGGAAGATGGAGAAGGCCTCAAAAAGCCCCGAGTGGCTTTGCGACTCGAGTCCTGCTCTGCATCTCCTCAATGCAAAGCGCTCAAGATGGACGAGAATAATGCAGAACAGCCACTTCGAAGTGTGCCTTCTGACTCTTTTGGCGGCATTGGCTTACCCTCCCCTCCCTCTCTCACTTCCCGAGGTATATATAATAAAGCCCGTAGGCACCAAGTTTTCGAGCATGTGGATATGGTCCCGCCCTTGATACTCGATTTCCTCTTGACATATGCCAATTCCCACAACTTCCCGAGGTTGTAAAGTGAGAAGAGAGGCGATCCGGGACGAACACCCTCATGTCGAGCATGTCGTTCATTCCCTCTTTCGAGAAAAAGAAAGAGCACTAAGGCATCCTTCAGCCCGAAGCGAACGATTGCTTTCTTGAACCATCTCTGCGTTGTTCTTCCGCTTTCAGCCCATCCCAAAGGAAACTGTCAACCTGATGGCTCCCGTCCCGCGATGCTCCCTGCTCCCGACCCCAGACTCCTCCCCAGCCTGTCTCATTTCCTTTTTTCCCCAGACCGCACTACCCATTTCGGCACATATTGGTCCTGTCTTTTTCCTCAGTGTCGACGTACACACCGTTTCCTTCGGCCCCTCTTGTCGAAAAGAGTAATTTGATCGAAGAGGGCCCGATTTTTTGGATCTCTTTGGTTAGGTTGGGACGACGGCGTCGGACTTATATCCGTCAATAGATTGATGCCAAAGGGATTAGAAATAGGATCTTGGGTCCGGGGATACACCGAACAACACGGTTGGGAAATTAAAAATACATTTTAAAATAAAGTAAAAATCATGGACGCGAGATTCCTGTAGTGTTTCTCACTGGTCCATTACCTTCTATTGGAAGGGTGTATGGCACGGGTACTCCCACTAAACACTTCAATCGTGCGTCGTGCTTGATCTGGCGGCGAAAAAGGGCCTTGGAGGCTTGCCAATATGTGTCTTAAGATTGGGGTGCCGGTCCATAATGTGGGTGTTTTGATTTCGCAAGCCGTGTGCTAGATAGACGATCGGACAGTAATTCAGAACGTTAGATAGGTTCATCAAAGAAGAAGAGGAAGACACATGGAGATGGAGCGCAAGAGAAAGCTTAAGAATGTGAGGATGCAATGCTGGTTCTATTGATGCCTTGATGCTTTCACCGTCGAATCCCGTAGATGGAAGTCAAGACGGTCGGTCTGACTGACCAGAAACGCTCCATGCAATTGATGCCCTTGATGTTAGCCGCCAGATGCCCTCGACCTTAACGATGCTGTATATATGCTATCATGCTATCCTCTCCTCCTCAAAACCTCAATGCAGATGCTCCTATCGTGACTTCGTAATGCAAACCTATATGATGGTATATCGCTCAGAAAAACAGAGACCAAAAACAGAAAGAAAGGAAAAGCAAAAAGGAAGAAAACATGGAGAAAAAGAAATCATAATCCGCTGGGCCCTGTCATCACCACCCCCGAACTATGCTCGGCTTCATACCTCGCCTCCACGTTCGCAATAGCACTCTGCAAAGCATTCGTAAGATCCACGTGAAACAAAGGCCTATTCAAGCCATGAATCACAGCTCCCTTCCTCTTCATCCTCGACCGTGTCTGCCTCTGCCCAACAGCGCCTCCTGAAGAAGCATCACCCGCTGCCATCCTAAACTCTGGCGAGCTTTCACCAGCCTCAATATCAATCAGGTCGCCGCCGTCCCCTTTCTTACTATCCGAGGCACTATCTCTCCTGCCATCACCACGATGGCGTCCGTTTGGCCTTTGTTGCGGCCCATCGCCGATCGTTGTTGCCCACTCCTTCTCGTTATCCTCGACTTCGTCTCCTTCATCATCGACGCCTATCTCGGCAACGCTGAATATAGACCGCCACTGACTCTGCCTTGACTCTCCGGTAGCGCCATCGGTCCAGTACCCAAAACCAGCCGACGCAAGAGCCCTCTTCGTCCATCTGTTCGAAATACACGCGAAATGCCAGTCCACCACCCCCGGCGCCGCATACCTATCCAGCTGGTTCCGAACATCGATGAGCCTCTGCACCGAAGTGATGTCCATGTGGTTGACGGAGCTGAAGTCCAAGATGACAGCCTTCAGCGTAGGCAGTCCATCCTCTTCCTCCTCGTAGAACGACTCCCATATCTCCTCCTCCCCACCGCGCATCCTCTGCGCTGTCTTCTTCGAAGAACGCGACGGACCGGGGTCGTTCCACGGTCTATCACCGGGTCGATCGTAGCTCATCGGCGTGGTGCGGCGCGTGCGCGCGAAAATGTGAGCGAGGAAGTGCTCGAGCGTGTTGCTGGCGTTGGGGTAGTTGAACCCCTCGGTGAAGCGGTAGATGAAGATGCCCGGGTAAGGGTTCTGTACGGCGATAAGTGGGTTCGTGCCGTCGTCGTGCGTAATGGGCAAAAATACGTTGCGGGCGGCGTAGTCGGAGGAGCCTCCAAAGGTCCCGTAGGACCCGACGACCTTGCGGTGGTCTTCGCCGATGATGTGGTCGCCCAGGACAGAGTGGACGCGGACTTTGCCCAGGAAGGCGCCTTTGGCTTTGAGGATGCGGAAGAGTAGGATAGCGGCCGATATGCATACGGTGGCGTAGATGCCGTTGGCGATGGTGGAAAAGACGCTGAGGATTACGCCAACAAAGAAGATGAACACCTCGATGGGGGATACTTTCCAGAATTGGTAGACGGTGTTGGGAGACGTGACGAGGTCGGCTACGGCGTGAATAATGACGGCGGCGAGGGACGAGTTAGGGATGTAGAAGAAGAGCGACGTAAGCGTGTACGTAGCTAGGAGAACGACGGCGCCGGTGACGAGGCCTGAGGCTGGAGTGCGAACACCCGCTTTAGACTTGATAGCTGTGCGGCTAAAGGATCCCGTGGCCGGGTAGGCGCCGACGAAAGGACCGAGTACGTTGCTGACTCCGATAGCGACCATTTCTTGGGAAGGGTCGATGACGTAGTTGTTGATTCGGCCGAAGGACTTGGAGATGGCGATGTGTTCGACGAGGAGGACGATGACGGTGGCGGGGAGGAACTTGGCGAAGCTGCTAATAAGGGAGGGGCTTATTTGTGGGACGCCAATGACTTGGAAGCCTGAACGGTGCAAGGCAAGTTAGTGAGTTGTTCTGGAAGCTCGTGTAGAATGCATTTCAAGTTTATTACCTCTAGGAACCGCCCCGAGGATCCTAAACGCCGGTTCACTCCTCCTCTTCATGTTGACAAGCCAACTAACCATCGTATACAGGAAAATAACAAAGACGCTGCGCAGGGTATTCAAGAAAAACAGCAAGCGCTGATGCTTCGGGCTCTTCTTCGCCGAATTCGTAAAGAACCATCGAATGAAGTAAAGAGTAACAAGGGCGCTGATCCCCATAGCAGCGTCGAGAGACGTCTCGTCGAGATGCTTCCAGGTGTTGAGGAAGACGAGATACGGCGCTTCTCGGCTGTTAACGGAGAGGATGCCCAGGAGGGAGGGGATCTGGCCAACGCCGATGGTGATGGCGGAGCCGGTCATGAAAGCCGACAAGGAAGTGACGGAGATTAGGTCGACGATCCAGCCGCACCGGAGGAGGCCCATGGAGGTGATGATGGCACCGGCGACGACGGAGAGGGCTGAGGCGATGACGTGGGCGGGGATGTCTGGGTGGGTGAGTTTAACTTCATTGATGATGCCGCCTACGAGGGTCGACATGACGGCAACGGGCTGTACATCATATTAGTCCAAAATGTTGTTCTGTTGTAGGAACTTTCAGGTTACATACACCAATAGTAATATCCTTTGAGGTAGCAAAGAGCCAGTATAAGACTGGGCCGATGAAGGCAGAGTACAACCCATATTGAGGGTCGAGGTTTGCCAGCAGTGCATACGCCATACCCTGGGGAACAACAATGGCACCAATAGTCACACCTAAAGTAGCGGAGGATAAAAGCGTTAGTATGAATGCATACACATCTTCCTCTCAACGGGTGTAACTAACCAGAAACAACATCGCCAGCAAGCCAGTGCAAGTTATAAGCCGGCAACCAGTTGATACAGGGGAACAGCGACTTGAAGTAAGCCAAGGCATCGTCGCGCGAAAGCACCAAGCTCTCGAGGAACTCTGCTGTGGTAGGGACGTCCTCGGTGAAGGTGTTCTCATCGACGGCGAACTGCGTAGAGCCGCGGTGGAAGTCCTCTATCAGCAAGTTCTGCGGTTCTTGCAGCTGGATGCCGAGTATCCTGGCCAGAAAATGACCGACCTTGGTACCCGTACTCGTCATTGCGAGATATTTTATATAAGGCGCGGCGGACAGGCCCTCCTTGTTGGAAAGGCACGAAGAAGCCGGCGTAAAAGTAGATGGTTGTTCACCACTAAGGGTTTGGTAGGCAAGCCGCAGACGGTTTATGGGTAGCCGTCGAGGGGGTGGTAGAGAAAACGGGAGGTTTACCGCCTTCTAGATATCATTTCTATCCTCCTCTCCCGAACGACAAAAGAGAGAGACGGTCGGTGAACTTCAGCAAGCTTCGATTACTGATCAAAAGGAGGACAGAACCTAACGGGGGTAGATATCTGTCGCGCCTCAAACAAAGGATGGCGCGGTACTCAGAGTACTAATCCGCTTGTGTAAGTTGGAAGGTTGTTTCGTAGGGAGAGGTTTTTCCCTTCCTCCTCTTCCCTTGAGAGGTAACAGGAGAAGACCGTAATCAAAAGTGACAAAGAGAAAGAGACGAGAGAGGAAGAGAGAGTATGAAAGGGAGGAGAAAATGCAAGCGTCTCACGACAGCGATGAGATCAAGGGGAAAGAAAGAGAGGTGCCTCAGCTTCGACTCACGCTTATCAGGCTTGAAATGTCAATAATGCCCAATGCAAAACAACGGTTACAGGAAAATATAAACTACAATTTACATCTTGAAAATCAGGGGACTTTTTTTGGGGGGGTCACGAAATGGAGCAGGATGTTTTCCATTCGGGTGAGCTACAGGAGGCGGTATAATCAAGAAAAGCGGGATGACGTCCGTGGAGGACTTGAGGACTTGAGGGGTGTCGATGTCGCCATCGATGCTAGTGTCAGAGGAAGACAAACCAAACAGCCCAGACTCCGGGGTACGACTGCGCTACGCCCTAGTCTGCACATCGGTGATTATCAACAGCATGCCGACTTTTCCCCAAATGGAACTTGGCAGGAAGGGAACACAAGTCAGTCGGAGCCGGAAGTGTAATTATCTCTGGACAAGCAACGCGAGTAGAGGCATAAAGGCAGCACTCACGCGCCGCCCGGTTCCCGCGCGGCTGTACCCATGCTTAAGGGGATAGGATGGGATGGTATCAAATGTCTCAGGGAGCGTGGGTTAGGGAGGGTGGAAGGATTGCGTGGGATAAGAGATTAGATCGACAATATCAAGCACCAATGTAAGTGTGTAATACTTTCGTACTCATACAAATAAGCCACACTTGGGTGTGAAGAGGGCGCAGCGCGTGAACGTTGTCGACCCTTCATAGAGAACGAGTGAGTAATTCTGTCTCGCCCTACGGAGAAGAAACGGCGTGGGTTTGTGGCCCGGCAGTGTTGCTTTTTTTGCTTTTTCTGGAATAAAGGTGAAACAGAGTGACCGAGAGAGATGTAGATGTTGGTCAGACGACAGCCATCTTGTATACTTGTGAGAGCTGAGCTCAGCTTAGACTTCAAGGTGCTTTCTAGAAGTGAGGTGAGGGGACGTGGGATGGATACGGACGTGATACTAGGATGTTGGGGTGTTCGTCCTCTTGTTCACGAGATGGATGTGGCCGGCGATCGTGACACGTACGTCTATACACACGTACAGACACACCCTTTCCCACGTTCCAGGGTCTTCCCTCAGCTGGCCCCGGGGAGTTATGTGATGCTGTGTGCGAGAGGGACATCCCTTTTTTAGGCTGCATTCTTAGGTCTTGGGAGCAGGGAACGAGGTAAAAGCGGCAGGAGTTGCCGAGCAGAGCGCCAAAATCGACGCATTTTTTGAGTTTGTAATCAGGATTTTGCCGCTGTGGATGACATCAACGAACGTTTTTATTTATTCCTGCATCTTTGGAAGGTGATTTGTTGGGGTTGGAGACTGTGGAGGGCAAGTATGGCTTCGTAGGTTGATCGAGGTCGGTGATGCAATGAGAAGCCAGGGTGATGCAATCGCAAATCGAGCACACCAAGAATTAGACTTGAGCCCCTCAAGTCTCGACAGCTCATTCGCTGTAATCTAGCTAAGGGTATCACACCTGTGTCAATATCCCATACGAAGAAGGTCATCGCCCCCTGATATCTCTGGTCGATGAAGATTATATGGGAACTTTGCCTTTCATGGAGTCCCGGTTCCGGTTGTCGGGTTCTTCGGACACATGCAGTGCGGCATGACTTGGATCGTGCATGCATCCGCCAAGTCGATGTTCTCGTGGACTCGGAGATGGGTAACCGACAGATCGTGATCACAACCAAGCAAGGCACATGCAGTGAGAATGATTTTATAACGACATTGGGGAGAAATAAAATAATAGGAAGAGAGAGAGAAAAAAAAAAAAAAAACAGAGAAAAAACAGAAAAGAGAAGAAATGTACAATTTTTAATGCGATTTCCCGTCATCCTCTATGTGAGAATCCGAGAATGAAATCTAGACTAGTTGAGTTTCTTGCAGCGATATATGTCCCTGAGCGGGATTGCGGAGTCGACGATAAATGTGATAAATGCGATAAATGCAGTCTTCTCCTGTTCCTTCCTGTTTCCTGTACCTGACAACGCATCCCAGGTTTGAGCGAAGAGCGTTTGTCTCTTGGGGCTGACACCAGAGGTCGCCGCCCACTTCCACGCCCTGGGGAATATTGAGGATAATATGGGAGGTCGCAAAAACACCTCTGCTTACCTCGGTACTTGTAGATTATCTCTGATTTTTCTATGCTCAGTCTATGGGAGCCCTCCAGAAGCATCATATTCAAAGGAAAACCCTAATCACGAGGACATATGCAATTTGGCCGAGCTGGTCTAACATCAACATTTGCTACCCTCTAGGAGATAGGCGTTGAGGGCGTTGAGGTCCAATACATGTTGGAGATGGGGCGACCAATGGGGGCCAATGTCCAATTCCAGCTCTCCCAGTTTTCCGGCCTTCCTTCGTCTCACGTCGCAGTTTTGAAGTTGCAGCGCACAAGCTTTGGAGATTGATGAGAAATTACATAATTTCCACATTACCCACACAGGCGAGTCTTTCACCTGTTGCCACCTGCCAAACCTCTTCTCAGCTCCTCGACCGCGATCGAGAATGTAACCTTCGTTGGCCTTTCACGATCAAGGCCCAGACAAAGTCGAGATGCAAAGCTCGAAATCGTCCAGGACGATCCTAAATCCTTTCTGAGCGTCTTTCTTTGAGCGGACTTCCTACCTCGTTGCAACAGTGGTGAAAACGACTAAAAGAACTGACGTAGGAGTTCGTTGTTGACCCCAAACACGAAATCGACGCGAGACACGCGACCTGCCCTTTTTGCCGCCATCTCGGTCTGTGTTGCTGTTTCTGCTGCTGGCAAAAATCCAAGAGCCTCAAGTCGAAACCCAACACCAACCTCCTACCTTTTTTGCCTGTTCCCCCGCCCCCGTCCCCAAATCCCACCATTCCCCAAAAAGCCAAAGCGCACCGCATCGATCAAGAAATAAGTTGAAACCGCAATCCATCTCATTTCCCTTCAAGAGAAGGGCAATTCATTCTTTACCTCTCGTTCAATCATTTTCTTCAATTCGCAAACAAACCCTTAAATTTCGAATCAATTGGCCTTCTTTCCCTCCCACCCCCTTGCCCACCCCGGCGCAGCTCCACACAAGATGCCACTCCCCGGCGAAGCATCCCGGCCCTTCATGCCTCCCCTAGCAACCGAGCTACAGCCTCCTCCCTCGCCCAGAACCCACCGCACCCTCCGCCGACTGCAATCTGCCCACACTCTCGGCTCCAAGGCCTCGAGCCAAGCGTCGCTCATCACCCAGCAGCGTCTTAGAGAACAACACCAGCAGTTGCAGAACCTACCGCAGCGATCCATGTCGCCCATCAAGAGAGACGTCAGCGGGAGTTACGCGAATCGCTCGCCGCAGCGGACGCGGGAGCGCGCGAATAGCGATGCGGCGAATAAACATCATCTGAATGCCGTGGCGGCGACGGGCGCGGGCGCCTCGAAGCAGCTGCAGCAACAGCAACAACAACAGCAGTCGGTGAGGAAGACGCCGTTGGCCCACGCGAATCTATCCATGCAGCAGTTGTTTAGGGACGGGCCTCCGGATGGGGATTTCGCTGGGGCGTTGGAGGCGACGAGATATAAGATTCTCGATGAGGGTATCAAGAGTGATAGTGATGGCATGGTCAGTTCCAAGCAGCGCGTGAAAAGGCTATGTGTTTTTGGGAGGTTTGCGTCTATTGACATTTTTCTCTTCGTTTCGAATTACAGTCTTCCCTAAGGATATACGTCTGGCTCATCCTCCTTGACGCCCCCATCCTCTCCACCGACGACTACCTAGCCCTGATCCACCGCGGCGCATCACCCGCCTACTCCAAAATCCGCAACGACACCTTCCGCACCCTCACCACCGACCCACTCTTCCGCCGCCGCGTCAGCGAAGCAAGCCTCATCCGCCTTCTCAACGCCGTAGCCTGGAAACTCCACGACGCGCGGGAATCCCAACGCCGCTCACGCCCGCCGAGCAGCCGTTCCTCCCTCGCGCCCGATAACGTCTCTTCCTCCAACAACAGCCCCGCTCGATCCGTCAACGTGAACTCGTCGCCCGCGGCCAAGAACCGCGCGCGAGCCCTCACGCTGACGACGGAGGGCTCCGAGTCCAGCGTGGCGCCCGAGCCGGGAACCTACGTGCAGGGCATGAACGTGCTCGCCGCCCCGTTCCTCTACGCGGCGCGCAGCGAGGCTGAGGCCTTCGTCGCTTTTCACACGATGCTTACGAGGGAATGTCCTGGGTATATCCGCGGCGCCATGGATGGCGTGCATAAGGGTCTGGCCCTCGTGGATAAGGTGTTGGCGATTGTAGATCCTAAGCTGAGCTTGTACCTTACTTCGAGGGGGCTCAAGGCGGAGATTTACGCTTTTCCTTCGGTGTTGACGCTGTGCGCTTGTACGCCGCCGTTACCGGAGGTGTTGCGGCTTTGGGACTTTTTGTTTGCGTATGGGCCGCATTTAAACATTCTTTGCATCGTTGCGCAGTTACATTTGATGCGGGATAAGATTCTAAAGTCTCCGAGGTAGGGCACGCCGCACACATGTATGTTTATGTTTGTTGTTATGCTAACTTTTTCAAATAGCCCGAGCAATTTGTTGAGATCGTTCCCTGCGCTGCAGGCGGATTTGATCAAGAGGGTTTCGATGACGATTTTGCAGAGGATTCCGAGGGATGTCTATGCTGAGATCGTTGCGCACGCACAGTAGTTTCATCCGGCCCTTTCGCCGAGCACTTTCAAGATCTCGGTTTCACGATTCAACCGAGGGGTTCAGCGCTGAGGATGCCTGCGGGAACGGCACTGCCCAGCCTTGTCCCGAGGTGCCGGATAGAAAACGGAGACACGGCGAGTCTACTTCTTGAATTTGTCATTTTTACCTGAGGCTTTTTTTTACATTACGATGAACGTGGGCTATGACGAAAGAGGAGGAGTTGTTAGACGAGAAGATGGGATACAGGTCCTGCTTCGAGGGAAGCTCGAACAAGGCACGTTTTCTGTCATTGCTAGGCGTTTTGGGGAAACGAACGGGGAGTTTTTTCTCTTATTCTTTTTTTCTTCTCTCTTTGATGTTTTTTTCCGATTCTTGTAACTGTTTTGATACGAAATGCTACGATGGGATACGATATGAAACGGATTCACGGGAATGAAAGCATACAATAAATATATGAAAATAATGAGTGCCAATCGAGGAAAGGTGACAGTCCTGAGCCCAAGGAGATCCGTGATTTGACGACGGAGAAGAGGATGAAACCGTCGTTTCTTCTCTCCCCACAACACAAACATCTTCTATTAGTATGCATAGTTCTCCAACACCGTCGATATCCGATGACGTGCAGCTTTCTAGAAACAGCTGACAGGCCGGGATTTCGGGTCCAATACGCCCAAGTCTATTAATAAATCTCCAGTGCCCGAGATTCACGTCGGCGTTTCCTGCACCTCGCATCGTCGCGGGGCGTCAGAAAGTAGGGGAACGAGGAACGAAACAAAGAGCGATTCGTGAGAGGCAAGAGCACTCCCTAGTCGTTTTGTTTCAAGTGCATCGGGGCTTGTCGACGTCTTTAGGTCCTGGTTCAAACTGCTAACTGTTTCGTAGTGGTTGGCTCGTTGATGAAAGCGGCAATGATCCTTGAAGAGTAGCTGAACTCCAGTGTCAATTTTTGGTCAGGGTCAATAACGGTCAATTTAGGGTCTGTTTGTAGCTATTTAGAAGTAGGGAAAACAAGGGAACATGATACATGATGAGGACTGCCATTTTTTTTGGTTGTTGTTGTTGTTTTTTTTGGGGGGGGGGGGGGGGGGGGGGGGGGGGGGGTAAAGTTCCTTTCCAACATCGGGAAGTTCCTTTCCAACATCGGGATAACTTATGGCTTGATGTGAGTGTGCTCCTTGCGATATTCAGGTTTCCAGGAATTTCCATTCCTCGATCTCGGCCTTGCCCCGAACCTCCTCATCCAGTAATACCGTAGTAATATGTTGACACGGCTATATCAGAGTCAATGTCATGGTTGAAGCTGCATGCCGAACCCCTGGGACAGTGCTGAGCCCTGGTGTAATCTGGGCAGTTATGTCCGTATATGCACAAGGGGTCAGTACACTCCGACTTCTGCTTACAGGGAATTCGCTTCTTTGATGCTCGCAACAATTCCAAGTCGTACTGGGACAGAGAAGCATCGTGGCTAAACTCGCAATTGTTGGCAAACCTGCAAGTACCCCGGAGGAAGTGGTTGTCGCACACCTTCACCCCTCCCGCCTTTTCTTTCAGCACCTGGGTAACAAACCGGGGGTCGACTGTGGCTACTGGGGCATCAACTCTTTCGTTTCCCTTATTCCAATGAGTGTGTGGTAGGTTGGGAAGGGAGGGAAGGGCGGGGAGCCAGGGTGAAGGGGTGCCAACCCACCCCGACGCAGGACTGACACGGGCTCCCTGACAACAACGACCGAAGAGGGAATGTAAATCATCCACATCCGTAGATCCAAGTCTCAGGCGATCATTAATGAGTCTTAGGTGCAGAGAGATTTCCCTCGCGATTGGGCGGTTTTCAGGTTCATTCTGGAGCATGTTCTTGATAAGCCACGCCAACTCGCCCATCACCAGCGAGTCACTGTTGCAGACACCATCCATTTGCTCTGAAATCGCCTGTATGCTGAGGTAATAGAGATCGTACTTCCTCCGATCCGGTCGCCCGTAAAAGTGCGGGAGAAGCATCAAGAGCTCAAAGTAGACGCAGCCGAGAGAAAAGATATCAGCCGCTCTGCCGCATTGGCGCTTTCCACGGGTGCACTCTGGGGGAAGATAGGTTCTGGTCCCAAAAGTATCCCCCGTCGTCGAGTAGCCGAGCCTACTAAAATCTTTAGCGCCGTCGAAATCCGTAATTCGAATGCCGTCCAGCGTTTCCACCTCGTCCGATTCGCAGAGCTTCTTCCGGTTGGGGTAGACTAGAATATTAGAGGGTTTGATGTCCTTGTGCAGCATCTCCTGCCCGTGGATATATGACAACCCCTCGGCAAGGCAGCCAAAGCTGGAGTAGAGACGGCGAATAGCGCGCTTCAATAGCGTGGCAACCTCTAGCTCTTCGGTCTCGTCGGGGAGCTGTACAATTGTCCGGAGGAGTCGAAGCGACTCTTCTGAGTAGTCGTACCTCTGAGAAAGTTGGCGGTCGCTGACTTCTTCGATGGCCTCACAGAACTTCTCCAAAGAGCAAGCCGCCACTGGCCACAATAGAACCTCTAGTACTGGTTCCGGAGGGTGGCCGCGATTATGAGTAAACGACCCCACAAGCTCGATGACATGCCGATGGCGAAGACGTTTCAGGGCAGTAATCTCCGTTTTCATATCGATAACCTTCGCGCTTCGGAGCCAACCTAGGCGTTTCGGGTCATACGTTTTTTTCGCAAGGCGAGTCCCGTTGCAGTCAACCTCCACAACGACCGCATTGCTTCCCCCGAGCTCGCGCACGAATTTCAGATCTGGACGGGGACTGTTTCCGAATTCGACGTGGAGGCCTGCGCTGCTGTCCTTTCGGCTCCAGCCCTGGAGGGTCGTGTTGTTGAAACTTTCGATGAGGACATCATTGATCTTGCTGCTAAGCGCAGCTACGATGTTGTTCTGGGGGATAGAGATAGGAAGGACGAGTCTGGGATCAGCCGACATCTTGTAGATATCCTATGAAGTGATGCCAACTTGGTTTAATATTAAGTGAGACTCAGGTAATAAGTGAAAGCACGCCTTCTTGAGGGGCTATCGAATGATGATCGTGGGTAGTGTTTTCCGGGTTATATAGATAGACAAGTGGACCTTGGGCTTCATTGGAATCGATGCTGTTGCGAATTTTTCGCAAGAATCCATCACTGGGATGAAGGGCGCTCCAGCCCCGGCCCAAGAGGGCCAGTTCGATTGTGTCCCTTCAAGCGAGGGCTGAATTGACGCCGTGGTGGAGATCTTGACACACCTCCTCTGTTCTTTGGTAGAGGGGCGGCGGAACATGCTCGTCGATAATTCGTTTGTTAGTCCACCATGTCCAGGGGATGGTGTAGTGCGATAGGGGAGGGTTGACGCCCTCATAGGGAGCAGGCTGCAGCCTGCTCCCTCCCTGGTCATCCATGGACGGGCGACACCATGATTCGTCTACAAGTTAGCTGCGCCTGCGGATGGTGTAGTGAGATACGAGGCGTTTACTGCACGAAGAGAAAACAACTGTACCGCAGCGCTAGACCAGGCTGCAGCCTGGTCCCTCAGGTTAGTCCAGTCCAGTTCAGTCGATAGAGAGCAAAACCTGAGGGGCGTATCAAGCACCATCCAACACATCAACGAGACACACCGTTATCTGGAAGATACGTTGAGGACATCCAATCGAAGCAGTTGGTATACCACACTCTACTTCATACCTGAGTCAGGGGAAGAGGTGCGGCCCGCTCCATGGCACCAACAGTCCATTTCTCAGGATGCGTCACGCAAACCAGATGGCCTTAGAATATGGACCCATGCTTGTGCCATGCTTGCAGCAGCCTGCGGCCAAGACCAGTGTTTCGCTCTCTGCGTCGACGGAGCGCCTAACTCGGCAGTGTCCTTGGATCTTGAAATCATCTTGGCCGCCCAAGGTGTGGCTGGACAAGGGACAGCATGGAATTGGGGTATAGGAAGAAAAAGGAATCACGAGAAGACAAAGGAAAGTAGGAACAAGGAAATAGCGTGGCTATCCCCGTGGGAGCCATTGGCTGATTGTCTGTGGTTTAATATCATCTTGTATCGGATGGTTCAAAGGAAGTTCCAAGTCTCTGTCCCTAGGATTCAAGATGTCCTTGGGTTGACTATGGTTCACGTGACCACTTACATTGAACTCAGGATCAATCTACGTCCATCGCTTCGTCCGTCAGGTCCTTTTCGAACTGATCTTCCTCCTGAATTCAATCTCAGGACGATCAGTCCCAGGTAGTGTTAGAATTTATTCATTTATTCATTTATTCGGTGGTAGAATGTAAGAAATGCACCCTCTGCGCTGCTGCTGATTTTGTGTGTGGGAACAAGCTTTGAGTGACTCTCCTCGGATTCAGACGAGTGAGCTCTAGAATTTCTAAATATATGTCAGAAACCAATTCGAACAGATCAAATGTGACATTTCCTTCTCTCAGAATAAGACTCAGGCTTGTCGCCTTAAACCATAAAGTCCGCACAGCATACTAAGGTAATGGGTCTGGCTGTTGTCCAATAATTGTTAAAGACTCAATGAGATAGACTTGGTAACGTCGAGCATGAATGAATCAAATGTACTTCGTACTCGGTAATCCAACAATTGATCGATTGATCCAATGGATCAATTGCAGATTCTCGACTCGATCCCCTTTCCCGGGTCACCACTGGTCCACTTCCCCCCGATTTCCAGGAAATACCAATTATAGATCATACATCAATCCACATCTCCCACAGCATCATCAACCTCAAACAAGACCCTCCAAGTTTCCCTCGACCTTCCCAAGTCTGACCTGTCCGTCGCCTCATCCGGCTCCAGTTTCCCCTCCACTCACAACTCTCTGCCCATTTCCCCATCCATTTGATGCCCTGTCATCCCCGTTCGACCTCCTCCTGGCCAACTCCTCCTGGTCCCCCACTAAGCGACCCAGTTCACTTTCATGCAAACTTCAAACCAATTCTCCACATCCCCAAAAATATGGACAGATCTACTTCGTACAACCCCCTTAATACCACACACCCATGGCGCTTACTGAAGCTCATACTTGTCCCCCATTAATCCCCACATCTCCACAAATAGCATTAACGACGCGTCAGAGAGGGCGCTGAGTAAACCTTCGCCCATGGAAAACCGCGGGGCGATGGGCTGAGGAATAGCTTGCGTCACGAAACCGCCCGAGGATGGACTTTTTTCTTTTTTATCATTTCCTCAACGTGCTGTGAAACGGGGGACAAGGATATACGTACACACTTAGACGGAATACTTGATTAATAGTATCTATATGCTACCCTTTTTCCTCTTCGCGGATGCAAGTACGTACTAATCTAATGCTTCTGTTTTGTTCATGTCGCCGATGTGGGGATTTGTTTCTTCTTTCCTTGACGGTGCCCGTCCGCTGGGATGTTATGGATGTGTGTGTGTTTCCGCGACTTGCCATCAAGGGAAATAAAAACCGATGATTGCCCCGTTCGTCTCCCCATGTCGGTCGATGTATAATACTCCCTTTGAGAATGCTTGTCCCCTTGGTTTCTCCATTAGTGAATGTATAGACCCTCCCTCCTCTATCCTTATATGCATGCTCATTCCCCGTAAGAAAGAAAACGAAAAAGAAAATACTCGGGACGTCATCAATGCTCATACCCTGATCCGACAAGAGATCTCCTCCACAAACCTCAGCTTCTATCGGTCTTCAACAAGGGCCCAACACCTACACACAGGGAAAATGAACACCCTCAGCCTTCTCCTTCTCCTCCTCTTCAACCTCAACTTCGCAAACGCCGACGACCTCCTCTCTCCAAACCACTTCAGCACAACCATCCACAAACGCACCCTCCAATCATGCGAGGAAAGCCATGGCTCCGGATTCCAGCAATGCGGTCCCGCTGAAAGCGGCTATTGCTACAATCCCACCCAAGGACAGGTGAGTTTTAGAAGCGAAATAGACAAGGAGAAAAAGAAAGAGCGTCGGAAAGGAAATGTGGGCGAGAAAAGAAGACTCCAAGCTGACCAAGATAAATCGGGAAAAAGAAATGCTGCGCTGAGACGGACTATAGTTTCTGCAGCAACGGATCTTGGTGCGCCCCTGTAGCGGGCTACTGCTGTCTAGAGGTACGTCATCCAGCTTTCCATTTTGGCTGAGTTGTTGAGGGGTCCGTTTCCCGCTAACAATCAACAAAAGTCCGAATCCCTCCAAGATTGCGCCACGGCAGCAGGCTTCGACATCCCCGCCTCTGCTTCCGCCTCTACGTCCAACAGCAACGGGAGCTTCTCCGCCTCCACCTTCGGTCGCCACCACAAGAACAAGAACAGCACAACCACCGTCAGACCCAGCGGCACCGGCGCGACGGGAATCGCGAGGCCCACAGGCACGGGAAGCGTTGGCCGCGGGGGCAACTCCACGATAGTTCCGCCCGTCGTGTCTTTTGCGGGGGCCGAGACTGGGGGTGTTGCGCTTAGTCTTGCGGTGGCTGTGGTTGTGGCGGTCTTTCTGGTATGAGGCGATCGGGTTGATGCGTCGGGACTGGGTTTGGGAAGGCGGCTTCTCTATTTTTGGATAGCTGCTGTCATTCGTTCGGTTTCCTCTCTTTTCTTTTCGCTCGTTAGGGATATAGACTCTTGGTTTTAGCGGCGTTAGGGTGGTATTTGTATCAACAAGGTCATGTTCCGGCACCAAGTTGCAAGAAGAAGGAAAGGGGCGGCGTCACTCATTTAGATTCCATCATGCTTGAGCAAAAAAAAAAAAAAGAAAATAAAGGAAACAAAAAAAAGAAAAGGCGACGGCAGCGCCTTAGTAAACCGGACAGCCTCCCTGCGCCCTCTGGAAAGCATTGCTGAAGAACTCCTGCATAGCAGTATAATGGAACAAAATGCCCCCCAGGACCGCCAAATGCCAAAGGTTATGGCTGCCCCCAACATAATCAAACATGCCGGGACACCAGCGCTCGGGGACCTTGCTGGCGTACACGACGGCGCCGGCGAGGTAGACGAAGATGGACTTAGCGATGGGCGAGTAGAACTCGTAGACAAAATCGGGGCCGTGACTGAAGTAGAGCTGGAGGATAGGGATGAAGCCTGTGGCGCCGAGCCCAACGTAAAATGCGACGCGGAGCCAGGCCATGTTTGCCTCGTTAAAGCGAGGGTTCCATGGTAGGATGACACCGCCGATGCCAAGGAAGGCCGTGACGCTGAGGTAGACCCAGCGGCTGAAGGGGTCGCAGTAGAAGGCTGTCCATTCGGTCGTCATGATGGAGGCTGCGATAAGGACGCTGATACCTGTGTAGTCGACGCAGGCAAAAAGGGAAATAGCGTTAATGTCGGCGACGGCATTCATGGTGTGCCAGACCGTGGAGCAAGCGAGGGTGAGGCAAGCCGTGAAAAAGAAGACGGCGGCGATCAGGATGTCCGTCTTGCTGCTGGTGGAAAAGTTGGGACTCGTGGGGTAGAAGTAGAGGGCGACAGAGAGAACAACGATGAAGCCGAGGGCGTGGGACCAGATGTTGACAAGCTCGTTGGAGATGCTGAAGGCTGAGTAGACGCAGTCCGTCTTGGACTCGATGAATCGGTAGCCCTGGCGGATGTGCGGGTTGATCCTCCAGGGTACTGGAAGGTCGTCATAATGGATTAGCCGTGTCTCTCTCGCCCTGATGATGGCGATCTGGATGTGCTCTTCCAACGATTCGGCGGCGCGGATGGCACGCTCCATGCCTTCTTCCATGACCTCCTTCGCCCTCTCGAGACCCTCGTTCATCACTTGGCATCCCTCGTCGAGCAGCGCTGACGCCGTGTCGGCGGCGTTGGCGAGGCCCTGTTCCCTCAGCTTGTAGGCGCGGTTCTCGAATTCCGTCAGCATGTTATCGAGGAGCTCGATGCCGATACAGGCCTTCTCGTTGAGGCTCTCGGCGGCAGCTAGACCTTCATAGTATCGGCTTTCTAGCGTCTCGATCATGATGTGCAGCCTCCTGCGACCGGCACCAATGACTTCTCCCGAGGCGAAGGAACATTTTGCCCGGATCTCTTGTAACGTCGAGAAAGCCTTGGAAATGCTCAAGTCCACTTTCAGATCCGCTTGGCTTTCAATCTGTTCGAGTCGTCGTTCGAGCTCGGTGAGGAAGATGGAAACCTGTATGTGAGGAAGTAAAGACAGATTAGACAATGGTAACGAAAAAAAGAGGCTTCCGCGACGTCAAAACACTAACCCTCAGTAATAAGCCCTCCTCGGTATCCATGATTTGGTGTACGATGGATTTCCTGCGAGGGATAAAGAACGAATGCCGTCTGCGGCGTCTGGGCGCGCTCAGAGCTGTGTCGAGGTCCGTACTGGTAACGGTAGTGGCAACCGCGTCCTCGGAAGGAGGCGAGACGCAGCCCGAAGGCAGGGTGGAAAATTCGGTTGGGAGATCCATGATTACAAAATTTTAAGAGAGTAGGAGCAATGGGTTGGAAGGGAAATGCCCAGAGGTGGGCGTTGGGTACGATCAAACTTGGGTTAGGAACTGATAACCTCCGGATTGGCCATGCGATTCGATCAAGATTGACTGAGAAGGAGTGTCATATAAAACTGCTAGGGAGAGAGGATGAAAATGCTACGAATATCGAGGGAGATTCGAATATCGCTGATCGATTGTTGTCTAGCGAGGGGGCATATGCGAAGGAAAGAAGGAAGGAAGGAAGGAAGGAATAGTGATGGATCGACGGTTGCGATAGGAAATACTGGGCCGTGGCAGAAACCCTTTGATGTCGTCAGGCCGTCAGGATCTAGGGCCGCGATGCCGGAGATGGGAGTAGATTGGGAACACGGCAAAGACAAGCGCGAGACGTAGATCGACGGTTCACACAGGTTTCGGAGGAATAGAGAGTGGGAAATCCAATCTGCGGCTGGAGAGAAAAACGTGGCGAGCTGGATTTGTTTGAGGCTTTAATAAGTTTCTAGTCTTAACTAAGACAGGGGAAACAAGCTCGTGGAAACTGCTGAAGGGACGGCGTCTTGTCAAAAGACGAGATGCAAACAAGAAGGGCAACCTGGAGGCGACAGTCTTCTATTCGAAATCGCGACAGTGAGGAACAAGAGAAGAAAAAGGAGAAGAAGCAGAAAAGGAAGAGGAGGCAAATAGGAGCGCCGCGTCGGTTTAACGAAGAAAAGGTGGAGATGCGGGAGGGGATAATGCCGCAGTCCGAATCGGAACCTTTGACGTTCTAGACGTTGGGAGAAGCCCGGCTGCGTGCGGGTCTTGGCTGGCTTGGATCACGTCGATGTTGAAGGGAACAGAGACTCCGGGAGTGGGGGGCAATTGTCTTCGCCACGGCTAACCACTAGTTGGGGGGAAGAAAAAAATATGATATTCTGACTGATGTGTGAAAAGTGCGAAGGAGAGGAGACATTGAAAGCATAGTAATCCAAGAATTCCCGCCCAATTCCCTGAATGTTCAATGTTGTTGATCCTTTGGATACCGAGCTCGAGCGGAGATTAGCTTGTGATTTCCGCTCGCCAGGCCTTTCCCCTTTCTGTTGAAGTACCTTGATAATTACGATTCTGGCCAAGATTGCAGTCTGGGCAAACGACAATTGGAAGGTCCACAACACCACCAAGAAAAAGGGCTTCCCAGAATCGAGCAATTGCTCGCCTCAGTGGTGTTTCATTCTCCTCCAGTCACCTCATCACGAGGTTTATTAGAGTTCAACACCCATCTGGTTGGATGCATCACCGGGCGCTTCTTCCCCTTTGGCCTTGGACCTTCCCTGGCAACATCTCAACATTTAAATTTGCGTGAGCCTTGCCGTGATGCGTGATCCTTGTACCTCTCTCAGGGTCCCCGAGGTTTTTGCTTCGTCCCAGGTACCGGCCTCATAGTGCAAGGCCTCCAAACCTGGACGGTACTAGTACACTCTGACAGCGGGTTACAGGGGATCGACGGGTTCATGTACGATGTAGCGTAGCTTCCAGCCGGGGAGGTGGGGGCGGCTTGGCAGCCTGGCTTGTCCAATTGAATGGTCCAGCTCCAATTGTGTACTTGTACGAGAAAGGCAACCCGTTGAATTCCTGAGTAATTGCATGAGTAATAAACTTACAAAGTAACGAAGTACCTCGTGCAAAGTAACCAGACCATTCTAAGACCGCTATTTATCCGAACTTGCTCCGAACTCATGGCAATCCTCCCGACCTGGGCGGTAAGGTGCGGCAGGATCATCATCGTCGACCTCGAGAGGCTTCAAACGACGCGAACGAAAGGCGGAACGCATCGAGGAGTACGGCAAAGAAGACCCGCCTCCATCGATATCTTTAATACTTACCTTTCCTCTTCATCAACGCCACATTTCAATTTCTACCTACCTCTCCAACATGGCCATTGACCAGATCGTCACCGAGCCCAGCCTCGGCGCGGTTCTCCAAATCGCAGGCCACGCACGCGACCAAGCAGCCGAGCTCCTCACCCTCCTCGCCGATGCCATCCAAGCCGACGACGGCAGCAGCTTGACGCCCGAGGCCCAAGCCCACCTCCTCAAGCAGCAGAAGCTAATGTTCACCAACATCGCCCACCTTCGCGGCCTCCATCGCGCCGCCAATCTGAGTGCCCGCGAAACCAAGACTACAACGGCCGAGGCGAGACAGGAGGTCGATCGGCTGCATCTGCAGCTTCAGAATATTTACTACGAGCAGCGGCACCTGCGTGGTGAAATTTCGGCCTGCGAGTCGTACGAGTATGTATAGTGCCTGCCTTCCTAGGGGCATGGCGACGAAGGCCCCGGATCATTTTCATAGAGTCGCCTATATTTACGATCTGGAAATATCTCATTCTCTCTAACATCCATGGTGCAGACACAAATACACACAACTACCTCTAATTCCAGTTGAGGAGTTCCTTGCTCAACATCCCGAGCACGCAGACGCGGACGAGAACGACCTAATGGTGGCGCGGATCGACCACGAACGAGCGGAGCGCGAGGCTCTTGAGCAGCAGAGGCAGGAACTCTTGAAGCGCAAGGCCAAGCTCATCGCCGAAAACAAGAAGCGGAAGGACGATTTAGCGAACCTCGACAAGGACCTTGAGAGGTTTATTGATGTATGTATACCCAACCGCCTTGGAGTGACCGAGTCTTGCCGCGGTACCCTTGGAAATATGTTAACCTCTCCCGATATAGGCCGCCAAACCAATCCAGAAGCGCTTCGAAAAGGTCGTCTGAGATGCCCATCTAATCTAATCCACTACTCCTCAACATGGGAGGATCGTCCTCTGTGGCCTATGCAAACAAAGTGAGGAAGCCATTGTCGGGCTCGGCTAGGACCAGCCTAACAATACGGATAAGCAACTAGTTTTTGGCAAAATGCAGAGGATAGCTTTACAGGACCGCTGGGTCCGATTCCGGGATCGATGTCTAGCTCTGCATTCAGCATTACGCCACTCGACGAGTTAGAGACCAGCGATAGGTTGTACCGATTCTGCGAGTTGTCTCCGACACTTGGAATGACCTTGAGCTGGCTGCGGCATTTGCAGGACCCCCGCGCTAATGCGGAGGGCGTCGGAGGGGGGTGACGTCGAAGAATAAATCATGGAAGCGAAGGGTCGGTGGCCGACACCTCGGGCCTATGAGATGGCTGAAGACGAAGGTGAGCCATATGTGATTACCTGGTGCATAGCTAGAAACGACGCAGACGTCTCGTCGCAGACGTCTACAGGGGTGTGCGTTCGATCGCATACGATAGCGCCGCGAATAGAGATTCGATATGAGAGCATCATGGACCTCATCCGCTCTGCTGCATTCCCCAGTCGTTCCGTCTTGTGTATGCGAGGAATTTCTTAAAATCTTGATTTCAGCCGATAGTCCACAGGAGACTTGAGACGGGTGCCCCCTTCTCACTTGAAAGCTTGCTTAAGAGTGGGTTTACGTAGAGTGTCCTCGAAGTCGAACTGCTTGTAGAACCTTCTTACGAAGCCGCCGCGTCAAGAGGTTTGCGTTTAAAGACGCACAAAAGTTACGATGGAAATTCGTGAAACAGGAAGCTGGCACATGCAAAAATATGAGAAGCATCCAAAAGTCCAATGCATCTCCCTCGACGAAAAAGGGTCGTAAGAGCCAAGCGAGTCTAGAGGCGCCGCCCTTTGCGATAAGAGGTGAGACGAGGTGAGGCCGCGTCTATTTACATCCTGGTGCATCATCGGACTTATTCGATATCTGTGCAATCGAACATCCAGATCATCGCCAAGCCTCGACACTCTCCATTTACAGCGTCGAACTGGCTGCAAACGAAATAATTGATTTGTTATCTGCTCCTGGTAGAAAAATAAATTGTCCATGTGAACATGTCCTGTGAACTCTTGCATTTCATGCCGCAGCCCAAAAGCATTTCTTCTATTCTTCACAAGCCAAAAATTCATCCGCAGAAAACCCAAAGCGAAAGAAGCCAAAATTCCAGCCAGTCCGGATCCGAGACCATCAGGCGTGGTCCAGATACGACCGTTCAAATGGCTCGAATCGGGCGAATTGGAACACGGGCACCCCTCCCCTTCCCGTCCCGGATCTGTTCGGCATCGACCCTTTCAACTGCATGTTTTAGAAAACGTGCTAGGGAATGGGGGGCTGTGAGTGGTTGGTACATTTTGGGGGGGGGAAGCCAAGCGGTCTGCGTCGATGGGACGGTAAGGGTTTTTAGCGAAACGGAGCAGGGTCCTTTTTCATTAGATGAAGTGTGAAACGTGAATTTCCCCTGTTCGCTGGAATATGAGGGGAAGAAACAGGGAAAAAGAAAGGACTGGGCTGGTGGTCCTTGTGATCGGGCTTGGAGGAGGGGGACCCTGGAGATAGCGTCGATCTGGAAAGCGTGTGGTCTGCTTCTCGATTACGGTTCGCTCGAAGGACGAAAGAGACATGGATTTAACCGATGAGATCGGCTTCATGGTAGTGTAGATGTTGCATGGTCTATCGCAGTACTACTTGCACACTACGAGGTATGTCACCACTGTCTTCAAGGATTTGTGGAGGTTAATTGCCAGGTTAGGGGTTCAACACTTGCTGAAGGGATTTGGTTCCCTTCTCTTAGCGTGTAAGTGAACCAAACCGTCGTCAGAGACGAGTTGGGACTATCGACGGCGGGCTCAATGCTATCAATGGGCCTGAATAGAGCCTTTGCCCACTATCTCCACTAAAGCAGGGCGCAGATAAGTTTAGAGGGCAGCTCAAAAGGTTATTCGGCGAGCCGCGCCTCAGTCGTCGTCACGCCGACTCGTAACTTCAAGCAAGAAGCGGAAGGACACGCGGCAGAAAAGCAAGCTTTGAGATGATGACCTACCGCGAATTTCTCGACTCTATCATGGTTAAGCACTTCGTAGTTCGCCCGGTTGCTGACGGAGTAACATTGAAATTAGCTCCCACAAACTCGTTCCAGTGTCGGGAAGCCCTAATAGAGGAAAAAGAGTCCCAAGGGTTGACGTTATTTTTATTTTCTTTCGCCCTTAGATCGCCAGTGAATCCAACTATCGTCGCGGACTATGATGACAAGTACGAAGTAGTACTAGTACGCAGGGGCCAAAGCTGTAGTGTACCCTGAGTGGCTCAGGACCTGCAGAAGACCAATCATCCCTTGGTCGATCCGTTGATGTTCGAGAGGGTTCCCACCTCAAGACAGGGGTCGTCAACTTGAGGTGAGCCGCTAAGCCCTACCAGGAACCGTTAGGAATGGCTCGAGACCTCCTGGGTCATCGATTCGTCCAAGGGTTTCGACGACAAGAGCTCATTGTGTGAGACAAGCTTTTTCTCTCCCTTTTCTCTCCAGAAGCCAAGTTCCATAGTTTCGGGGAATAGAAGAACATTCCAACATTCCCCATTGTTTCAGTGAACTCAAATGTTTGATGAAACCAAATTTATGCAGAACACTATCAAAATAGCATAAAAGCTCTCGCTCTAAGGTTGCCGAACTCCGATGATAGGGGACAGAAAAGCAAAACTAATCTTGCCGAGGGCCGTCAAATTACGACATTGACCCAGTACTACGTCTCATTCCCATCTTGAATGAGTCCTTTTTTGCCTTGCTCGACCTCGACAGACACATCTCCTCGGGTGTGCCCTGCAAAACGCAAAATAAGTAAAACAGGGCAAAATACTACAATTGGAAGAAACAAAACAAGCGAAAGCACGGAGCGTATGGACGGGCTGGGACCAAGAGGTGCACCATGCACCTGTGCCGTGATTTGTCGATATTAAACATGTCGAGTCCCGCCGCACCACTTCGGTCGACGGGGACAAAGAAGCATTGCTTGTTGAAACACTGATCGCAAGGGGGAATATGCAGACGAGTCCAATGGGGCTCATGTCAGATCTTAGAGGCCGCCCGGCGTGAGAAGAAAAGGCGCCACTGTCAGAGATGACCAGGAATGAACAAGAAAAAAAAAACCTCCCAGGGTCACCAGAGCGATGTGCGAAATTAAAAATCGCGCTATTCGAAGGGTCCAGGATCGTCTTATGGTGGGTTGCCCTTCTAGCGGGAAACGGTCATTTTAATGTTGTTCAACGCCAGGGACGGTGACAAATGCAGGAGCTCTGGAGCCACATGGAGTATGATAGCTCAGCCTATTGGGCGACGAGCCGACAACCTTGCTCCGATGCCGTCGATCCGGTAATATGCTCGTCTCTACGAAGGTCGTAGAATTGTACCGTCTCGCGAGAACGTTTGAGTTGACATAGCCTCAGTACGACTGAGGACAGAAACTGATCAATCTGAACCTGTGAAAGCTGTCAATGAGAGGAGAAGCAGCGCAGGGAGAGCGAAAGGTGTGCTTGGCGAGTGCTCCATCCAAGAAAAGAGCGAAATCGCTCCGTCGAATAACGTCTTTCCCCACAGCCACCTTCGACTTGTTCGACTCGAATCGTTTGATCAATGTCGCATTACATCGAGTTTAGACCCCCAACAACTGGAAGTGTCGAAGTGGACAATGATTAGCGTCCTCTGTTTAAATTAACCCAGTACTTACTACCAGTATATGGCGTGAAGTTGTAATAATGTCGATACGTTTGGGTGATACCGATTGTCGTCCGTCTCCTCACGGTTTCGTGGAGTTTTCTGGTTTGCCGTTTACCCCCTTGCCATTCAATCCCCAGACTGCATATCCCAGAGAGTCCAATTTTGCATTTCTGGGTGTCTGCATCGCCGGTTTGTACTTCGAAAAGGTCGGGTCGTCGTTTCAACTACCGTATAATACCTGCCGACCTGCTAGAAAATGTCAATTGACCGGTTCATAATGAAAAGGACCACTCTCCCTGGCATTCCCGTGTTAGTACGACGAACACGCCGCAAGCCTTCGTCCCCCCTTCTCATCTTCCCTGGGCGGTCCCCTCCTGGCGCAAAGTTCCCTTCCCCAGCAAATCTCCCATACATGCCTCCCGACCTTTTTTTTTTTTTCCTTTTTTTTTTCCTTCCCTTAACCATCACCCCCCGGTCGTCTCCGTTTTCCTTTGCGCCAGCGTCCCACCCCCACCCACCCCCGGCTCTTCTTTTTCCTTCGTCTCCCGGCCTGCGAGGTTTGTCAAGCAACCTCTTTCCTCCTCTGATCGACTCCGACGCAGACGCCGACCTATTACCCTCCCTCCCATTTTCCCCTTGCCACGAACTATAGGCTGTGCGACACACAACACGTAGCCTTGTTTCCCTAGGCTCTTTCGAACCCATCCTTCGTCTACGTCCGTCGGTTGTTCGTTCTTACATCGCAGACCCGCCTCGATTCGTTCTTTGCCGGCGCCATGTCAATCTTTGCCTGGGCAACCCGCCGTTCGGGTGGACTGGCCATGATTGCTTTGTTAGCCCTCAGCTACTGGGTCATCTCGAAGGAAGCGACTGCACCCCGACACCCTTTCGAATATAAAGACCGAAATATAGAGCCGGGCGACTTCTCGAAGCTCCACGGGGCAGGCAACTGGACAGTCTTGTTCGCGTATTACTGTCTTCTGATCCATATCCTCGTCTCCTTGTTCCCGCTCCGCGCGTGTTGGTCCATCCTTGACCTCACCAAGAACATGAGGAAGGCCCGAGCCAAGACCCTCCGTGAACTAAAGATGACTGGCCAGCGACGTGGCTCCTCGACTTCTCTTTCGAGCTCCGACACCCTCTCTGCATCCTCCCAAAGCGCTTCTTCCTCGAGTAGCGAAGCCGGCGATTTTGAAGTCGAGTTCCCGAATGCCGAGAACAATGTTGTCCATGCGATCATTATTCCGAACTATAAGGAGGAAATGGATACGCTTCGGGAGACTCTCGATGTTCTGGCTTCGCACCCGTTTGCCAGCACCTCTTATGACGTGAGTATTCCGTACTTCCCCAGCCGCACGCATATTGGTGTTTTGCAAGCATAAAGCTGTTGGTCCGTACGAGATGCGGAAGTGCTGCGCCGCCGCCCCGATTCTCCCATGGGGGGACTAAGGCGTGGCGTGCCGTGATTGGTCTTGAATATCCAAGACTCCGCCGAGACTGACTGCCAGACGCTGACCAGACGCTGACATGTGTTCAACATAGATCTACCTGGGAATGGAGGAACGAGAGCCACAGGCGGCTACCAAAGCTTTGCAGCTCGTTGAAGAGTTCTCCGCCAAGTTCCGATTCATTGGTTATACCGTCCATCCTGGTGATATTCCTGGAGAGTCTGCTGGCAAGGGAAGCAATGTCGCCTGGGCAGCTAGAAAGCTGAGCGAGAGGTATCCGATCGAGAAGCGAAAGAATGTAATCGTGACTGGTATCGATGGTGAGTTCATCCAAACCTTAGATAGAGTCGAGTCCCCCGTGCCCCCGCAGCAGAGTCCCGCCCCCAAGTCGTAGAACGCTTCAATATTTTCGTCCTTCTTCAACGAACAGCATCACACAGGGAAGTGAATTGTTTGTCGAAGAGGAAAATGAAACGAGGATTATGATGCTTCCAGCCAAGAGACAAGAAGGAACAAGCCGTTTCAAGGCTTATGCAATGTTGGTGCCAAGGATTTGCTGACTCAAGGTGTTTGGGGCGGAAATAGCGGACAGCCATCTTTCCTCCAACTATTTTGCGCTCGTCACCTCGATGCACATCAGCTCTCCCGAAACTGCCACGAAAACCCTCTATTCGGCCCCGATCATCTTCGATAGAAACGCCCACAATGTGCCTGCAATTGTTCGGGTCGCCGATATCCTCTGGTGCGCCGCCGGTCTTTCCGGCCTGTACAGCGGCTCCACGATCGCTCCTCCGACGTCGGTTTATTCGTTGAGCCTCGAGCTTATCGACCGGGTCGGCGGCTGGGATTGCGATAGCGAGGCCATCGGAGAGGACCTGCACATGTATCTCAAGTGCTTCTTCGCCCTCAATGGCAATCTGACGTCTCGAACTGTTCTGAGTCCCGTAAGCCAAAGCAATGTGACGGGAGGCGGAAAGGATGGCATGATGGGCATTTATATGGATATGAACGCACGTTATAAGCAGGCTCTGCGCCATATGTGGGGCGCTCTCGATACTGGGTATGCCCTGCGGAAGCTCGTCGAATTATGGCGCGAGAGAAAACGAACTTCCCGGGCCTTCCGGCCACTGCACAAGACTATGTATGCAAGGACCCCTCATCAATCCCCGGACGCTTCGGCAGCGTCGGAGCATCCTTTTGCTTGGCGCCCGCCACACGTCCAACCGTTTGCTCTAAGTTCTATAACCCCCTGCTTTTAACATTACCTGTCTTATTTCCTATGTCTTGGCTCACGCGACAGCCGCTTGATATTTGGATTTTTCTTTTCTTTTTGACATCTTTTTTCACCGTCCTTTTTCTTTCTTTTTTTTTTTTTTCTCTTTTTTTTTCCCCCCTGCTCTCTCTTTCTTTTGTATTGATGGTCAGCTAATGTTCTCTTTTCTAGCGGTGATGCGTCCGATTCGTATGTGCCTGACCACCACCCTGTCGCCGGGGATCTTGAGGCTGGCCCTGACGGTGGCATCTTCTCGGACACCATAGTCGACAACCTCGACGGACCTCACTGGGAGCGTATCTTCTACCTCTGCCATCGTCTGTTCGAGGCCCACTTCCTTCCCGTCCAGATGACAATTCTCGTATTCACATCTGCCCTGTATATGTGGTTCACCAAGGATGCTTTGGACGTCCACAACCTGGGCTGGATCTTTTCCGTATGCAACGTCTTGCGCGCCGCGGGCTTCATGGAAGTCGTCGTATATCTCGGCCTGTATGAACGCTTCCACCGCATCTGCGTCAAATCGAGGCAGCAGGAGATGACAGACGCGGGCCTAGCCGTCGGCATGAGGTTCTCTCACAGGACTTTGAAGAAGAACCTCGTCGACTATGTCATGGCCCCCCTCGTTGCTCCCATCTACGGAGCGATACCGTGTGCGCAGGCGCAGATCTGCCATTTCTGGACGGTCGACCTGGTGTACGCGGTAAGTAAGAAGGTGACGCGGAAGCGCGCCGCTTCGCTCATGGCGGAGAAGGTATAAAAATTTCGGAGTGTCGGCGGCTCAACCCCCCGCTCCGGAGACTTTTTTCTTTTTCTTTTCAACAATTCTATTCCATTTTTTTTTTTAATTAAATTAATACCCAAGCTTTTTTCTTTCTCTACTTTCGCTATTTACCACATGCCAGACGCCCTAGGAGATGTTGGTGTAACTGCCAAATCCATCAGTTTCAACAACAAATCCTACCAGCGGAGGCGCCATGTACATACGAGGGAGGGAGAGGGACGGACCACTTCACTCCTGGTGATCGGTCCCGTCTTCCCGTCCCATTTTAAAGGATTAACTTTTTATTTTTATTACCCGCATGGCATAGCATTTGGCATTGGGGCATTTATTTTTAGAGTTGGGGATTTTTAGGGGGCCTAGACCTGGCGTTCTCGGAGTACTTTATGCTCAAAACATGGGGTCTGAGACGGAAAGTAGGGCCTATCCTGTTGCGCTCGCTACGAAGGCATAGGTGGAATGAGGAAAATTTGATAGGGAAGGATTGTTGGGGATGTGCTAGAATGCGGCCGGGATGGTGGTGCTCTATCGGGGAACGCGGAAGGACGTTGATGGTGGCTTTTAATGACGTGAGAGATGCACTGGGGAATAAGACGTGAAGATGGGGCGGGAGTCTGAGATGAAATCATTTTTGTTTCCCTTTTCTTGTTTCCTTTTCTCGTGCAGGGGGATCTAATGCGTGCTGTGGAGGGAGGCAAGATGCATGTTGAAGGCGCGGAACGTCTTTGCGGGTAGCAATGCCCGGAGGCGAGGACCTAATAATGCTGCGGTAGTCGAGGGTGACGGGAGGCTATCAATGATAATATTTAATGCTATTGAGAAATAAGAGAAAACGTATGAGGCCATCAAGAAACCGCTGAGGCAGGGATGCAAATGGTGACAGGACATGTCAGTCTTGCCCATCTGCAGTCTCATCTTGAGCTGTAGGATGCAGTGGGGCTGCTGCCTTCCGGGAGAGCACGATGCAGTCTCAATTTGATTCGGCCGATCTAGTTCGTTCGCAGCACGATTATCACCCATCAATAATCAATGAACTTCGCCCGTAACGGAGTATTGGGGAGAGATCCTCTCAACCTGTTCAATATCGTGGTTCGATGATCTCCTGGAGGCTTGAGAACGGTTCAAAGTCTCCCATGATTAGGTAATGTCAAATGGGACCAGGAACGTCTGAATAGTGTCGTCCCCAAGGCAACAATGTCGTGCGGCAGATCCACTGGCAGAAGCTTCAAAAGAAACCTGCAGCGCATGGTCTGTGAAATTTCGTTGGGATTGGCCAGAATCCCAGGGCGGTGAAAGTCGACAGCTCCTAGTGCAGTGGATCAGCCACCGATAAGGGCGTTATCGCACTATTTTCCTGCCTCCAGTGGGGTGGAGGAGAAAAAAAAGAGGAAGAAAAAAAAAAATTCGAAAATTTTTGGATACTGCCTCCAGGACGTCTTTTCTTGACACCCTCTCCCAACACCGCAAATCTTTTTCTTCATCCGCTCCTCCTTTACCCAATTCAATCCAAGTATCCAACGAGTCTTGTTTTCATCTTTTTCATTTCCTATTTTCATCATCTCCAGATACCCCTAACTCAATCGTCTTCCAAGCTACTCCTGCGAAGACTTTTGCCTCTTTTCATCAGTTTCTAGTATACCCATCTTCACATCCCTACAGAATGCCTTCCGAAGCTCTCGCCATCTACGGCTTGACCGTACCCCCCAATGAGGGCCCTATCCCTGCCTCTACCGTCAACTTCCCTGCCCGAGTAAGTGTCTCTCCGCGTTCGCATTTCTTGGCTCCCCTGTCATTATGTATCAGTCCGAAGTTCGACGACGGCCTCTTTGTTCGCGTGGCACTTCGCGCTTCGTAATGTTTCATCTATACTAACGGGTCTTGGGATGATTCCAGTTCCGCATTACTATGGCTGCCATTGATCCCACTGCCCAACCCCAAGCAGATGCCGAGGGCAACCTGCCTTCCGTCCCCCGCTCCACCGTTAAGCTCATCCGAGTTCCCAGCTCCGACTCTGATGATGAGGACTCCGATGACGATGAGGAGGACGAGTACCTCAAGGCTCTGATCAATGCTTCTTCCGATGATGAGGATGAGGACGACGACGACGAGCCCAACGGCGGCCCCAGCGACCAGTCCAAGTCTAAGAAGCAGAAGCGCGCCGAAGCTCTGGCGAGCCTTATCAAGGCCGTCCAGGAGGAGGAGGGTGATGAGGAGGACTCCGACGATGAGATGACCGATGCTAAGCCCAACGGTGTCAAGAGCAAGAAGGGCAAGGAGAAGGCGACCGAGGAGGACGAGGATGAGGAGGAGGATAGCGACGATGAGGATGATATCCTTGCCGCCGAGGAGCTCGTTATCTGCACTCTCGACACTGAGCGCGTAAGTTTTATTCGATTTGCTATGAGAGACACACATTTGAGGGCTTGCCGATGCTAACCGCCATTTTTCCCCTTGCGCTTAGACCTACCAGCAGCCCCTCGATATCACCGTCAGGGAGGACGAAGAGGTCTACGTCCTCGTTACTGGTACCCACGCCGTGACCCTCACCGGTAACTACATCGAGTCCCTCAACGAGGACTCTGATGAGTACGACTCCGACGAGGATGATGAGGATGACGATGACCTTCTCATTGCTGGCGCCAGCGACGAGGAGAGCGACGAGCTCGACGACGTCGATGGTCCCCGAGTCACTGAGCTCGAGTCGGACGACGAGGAGGCTCCCGCTCTTGTCCCTACTAAGAAGGGCAAGAACAAGCGCCAGGCCGAGGAGGCTGAGGACCTCGATGCCATGATTGCCAGCAGCAAGGACAAGAAGGCCAAGAAGCTCAAGAACAACAAGGGCGAGGCCGTCGCTGCCGAGGAGAAGAAGAAGGAGGCCAAGGGCGATAAGAAGGTCCAATTCGCGAAGGAACTCGAGCAGGGTCCCACTGGTTCCGCTACCAAGGAGAAGGCCGCCGCGAAGAGCGTCAGGACCGTCCAGGGCGTCACTATCGATGACCGCAAGGTCGGAACTGGGCGTGGTGCCAAGAACGGCGACACCGTTGGCATGAGGTACATCGGGAAGCTCCAGAATGGCAAGCAGTTTGATGGTACGTTTATTATTTCACGAGTCCAACATGTTCTCCCTCCCCTCTCTTTGTCTCTCTACAGCAGCATCATGCTAACCTTGGGACGTCAATATAGCCAACAAGAAGGGCAAGCCTTTCACCTTCAAGATCGGAAAGGGTGAGGTCATCAAGGGCTGGGATGTCGGTATTCTCGGCATGGCGATTGGCGGCGAGCGCCGCCTTACCATCCCCGCCAACATGGCCTACGGAAACAAGAGTCTTGACGGCATTCCCGCGAATAGCACCTTGATCTTCGACGTCAAGCTTCTCGAGATCAAGTAAGAAAAAGGACACTCGGGTTTTCCAAGTGTTTTTTTACGAACGGGGTAGGCCGGACGAGGAGAGCTCTCAACACCAATCTCGAAGGATGAGAAAGGCAGTAGTTGGCTCTTACACCTCTCGGCCACTGTGTAACTATACGAAATTTCCTCTCAGCGACGACTCGCAGGGCTCCATTTCGATTCCCCTTCTCTTTTCTTCTTCTTCTCTTATGTTGGTTTCTGGGCTAGGCGATCTCCTCCCTTCGGCTCAATACCTTGTCTGTCTTCTTTCCGAATGTAATGCAGAGTCTCTGACCTGATGATGTTTCCTTTCTTCTTGTAAGGAATCGGGTACCACCTGCTTGATGGGAATGACGAGGCGAGGACAGGCATTGCATTTACTTGGCGTACTCTCAAAAAAGTTGTTTCTCTGGGTTGTCTTTGTTTCCTTTTATACTCTGTCAGTTTCCTGTTGTTTCCTTTGTTCTTTTTTCGGACTCTTGGTTGTCTGTTTCGAAGGTAGAGGATCTGAAAGAAGGATCTTGGTAGTTTACAATTGACACATGAGTTGAGTTTAATCCGAATAATGGGTCGTTTTAAGCTTGTTCTACGTTTCTTTTAAGTGTTTCGTACGTCTAAAGACTCGACGGGAATCGGGAAAGAGACTGGACGATTGAAGTAAGAGCTGGGAAAACAGAAGCGAAAGTCAAAAGGAAAAGAACGGCGCAGTCTAGATCGTTTACAATTGACGTATAAGTCGAGCCTACTCCATACCATGGATTTTTTTTTTTTTTTTTTTTTTTCTTTAAGCTTGTTCTAGGATTCTGTTGATCGTATCGTTTGCCTCCGAAGACTTGACATGAACTGTTCAATATCCAAAGTAAAGGACTGGACAATTGAGGCTCATGAAACTTCCATAAAAATGGCAAAAAAAGAGGATTGAAGCTCCGATGCGGGGAATCGAACCCCGGCCCCTGCGGTGCCTTTTGTTGAAAGCTTGAAAGCGCAGTATACTAACCACTATACTACATCGGATGAATCTGATGACGACTGTGAAGACGCACAGTGCTTAGACTGCAGATGTACCCAAGGGTATCAGCACCCACCCTAGCAATAATTGTGCTAAGGTCAGACTCTGGACAATCATCTCATTTTCAATTGTTGCCTCTTCTCATCTACAACCATCAAACAAACACAGAAAACCATCACTTTTCACAGAATTCAATCCTGTCCATCGACAAGATATTACACTCTCACCTTTATTAATTTCCCCCACTTTATTTGGACACAATAAAGCCGACAAAATACATCAGCCTCGCGTCTTCTCCACGGTTTATTCTCACAAATCGATCGAGGACTAGCAGCCCGCCTCACAATAAACAACCTTTATTTACACAATGGATCTCGTTTCGAGCATCCGAAAATCAGGCTCGCGCGGCGGCGTCAACTTCAGCTGGGATGAAGTCGCCAGCTCGTCGCACCGCGAAAATTACCTCGGACACAGTCTCAAGGCGCCCGTGGGCCGGTGGCAGCAGGGGAGGGATCTGGAATGGTACGCCAAGGGTCCCGGGGGCCCTGCGCGCGAAGGGGAGACGGATGAGGAGAGGGCGGAAAGGGAAAGGAAGGAAGAGTTGAGGAAGGTGAAGGAGGCGGAAGAGGATGCTATGGCGAGGGCTTTGGGGTTGCCTTTGCCTGTTAGGGATGCGTCGGGGGCTAATGCCGTGGAGGTTGGGGAGGGAAGAGGACTTGGCGGGGGTGAGGATGCGGACGGGGAAGAGAAGGGGGAAGGAAGAAGGGAGAGAAGACGTGACGAGGCAGGAAGGAGAGAGAGGAGGAGGGACGATGGTGATAGGAGGGAAAGGAGGAGGTACAGGAGTCGGAGTAGGGAAAGAAGGTCTGAGAGATCAAGGAGGGATGCGAGGGATGCCCGGGACGATGACAGATCGAGGCGTGATGAGAGGGAGGACGGGAGGTCAAGGAGAGAAAGAAGAAGGAGCAGGAGTAGGGGTGGTGAGAGGGATGACAGAGAGACGCGGCGAAGGAGAAGGCATGACCGTGATCGTGACGAGCGATCGGGGAGCGGAGAAAGACGACTGCATCGGAGGCCAAATCGAGATCGAGGCTATGGGCGAGACCGGTCACAATCGAGAGACAGGCCGCACCGCCATTAGGGGGCTACAAGATCAAATTAACGAGCAAGACGACTCCAATCGTGGGTCTTAAGTCCCCGTCACCCATCCTGTCGGGATATCTCGTGCAGTGCAGCCAGCCTTCTTGGCTGGTGTGGGTGTTTGCCAAGAACCGAGAACAAACCAGGGATCATCAACTCCCCCGACTCGGGAGGGAATGGAGACTTTCCTCAAGGCAGAAGCCGGATAGGCTTATCTCTGTCTTTTTACTTTTAGTATGTCGGCGCAATCTCGCCGAATCTTACGACGTCGAAGTATAAACTAAACAAACAAGGTTGCTGCCTCTGGCCCTCAAGTTGAAAGACGTGGAATGGTTCATGAAAATTCAGCTGCAACCATACCCTATTTTAATACCCTCAAAAAACCGTTTCCAGACAGCTGCATGTTATCAACTATTGCATATGATGAAGGGTTGCAAAAGAGTTAATAGTTTCACAGTTTCACTGTTTCCAGTCCTTCTTCCCTGTCTGCAACTACGGGAATCAAACATTACGAGGTAGTAACTACGATACAAATATCTACAAATTTACAGCTACGGTATTTCACAGATTAATCGGGAAGAAATCCAGGATATAAGATATGTAAATGTTAGGTGCGGTTCGCATGGCTGCAAGTGTTGTAACGGTTGTAGGAGGAGCAACTGTCGCAGGACTGATGAAGGACGGTCAGTGGATCGTACCTCTAATCTACAATCCTCTCAACCCTATGATACTACTTTTTGAAGGTTACCAGCCAAGGCGGAACTAGCTTGTATCAGTGCTGTCAGCGCCTTCTCTCGGTATCCTCGGGGCAGATTCGTCGGTCTTAGGGGCTTTTAAACTCCGGCCCTCAAACTGGAGCCTGCCCAGGCTGCTCTGCTGACTCGTTACCCCGCCAAAACAGTGGCGAGACCCCTAAAGCCCATAAATAGATCTGCCCAATCCTGGCTAATTGAGGCCCTGAGACGACGCAACGTCGCAGCCTTGTGCTTACTTACTTACCCCAGCGCCGTGTGCTGCCTGCGCTGGAGTTCAACGAATCGGATTGAAGGTCTCGCCTTCCTCCAGAACTAAACTCCAGACGACATTTGTTTTCACACTTGATCCGTTTGTTCTTCCTACTCGAAGTCGGACTTTGTTTCTTCTTTATATTTCTTTATTTACCCTCTTTAATACCCGCGTGACCTCGCGTTCCTTCACAATCCGACCTTTTCCTTCGTTACACGTCGTTGTCGCCTCCCCGAGAACCTTCGACATTCCTCACGACGACGAACCTCGCCCTACATATTCAGTCTCATCCTAACTCCAACCTCCGGAACCACCATCCCGAAGCCCACGCCGAATTCTCCTCGATAATGAGTTGTTGTTGATCTGTCCTATAAACAAGCATGGATTATGCTCGCTTGAGGGCCACCGCCCTCGCTAGCACTGACGTCGAGGAGGCCGTCACAGTCGATACAAGAGCTTTAATCGACAAGGTCCTTGCTCGATACTCGGGAGAATGGACCACCTTACGAGAGCTCATCCAGAATGCCGCCGACGCGCAAGCCGAATCCGTCGTTATCAAATTCGAAACGATCCCTTCCGTCCAAGTACCCCTGCCTTCTACCTCGAACCAGTCCGAGCTGCTCAAACATGTCGTGGTCAACCATACGTTGAAGCGTCTCGTCGTGCGCAACGACGGACAGCCCTTTACGCAGACCGATTGGGGACGGTTGAAGAGGATCGCCGAGGGTAACCCAGACGAGACCAAGATTGGTGCATTTGGTGTTGGTTTCTACAGCGTTTTCGCCGACTGCGAAGAGCCCTTTGTCAGTTCGGGTAATGAGGCCATGGCGTTTTACTGGAAGGGCAACGCACTTTTTACGAAGAAGTCCCAGCTGCCGGCGGATCAGTGCTCGCCTCATACTACCTTTGTCCTCGACTACCGCAACAATACGACGCCCGTGCCTAATCTTCTTTCGGTTTGCCAGTTCTTGGCTACGAGTTTGACATTTGTCGCGTTACAGAGGATGGAGTTCTGGGTTGATGATTGGAAGTTGTTGTCTCTGCATAAAAAGATCTCCCCGAGCGTCGAAGTCTCCATTCCGCGAAACTTCGTAAAGACAACGTCGGAGGGGATGATGACGGTAGCTACTGTCGAACGCATGAGCACCCAAATAGACGCATCGTACATGGTCGGCATCGGATGGAAAGCCAAGACCTCTCGGGGAAAGACAACGGAAACCTTTGGCGGTCAGATTGCGGATGCCCCGCTGATCAAGAGCTTCTTTGCTAAGTTCTCATCCTCCGCCCAGTCGGCGCAAAAGGCAAAAGCCCAAGCCCAAGCGGAAGAGGCCGCGGCGCAAGCCGCGATCTCTGAGGATATCACTGCAGTCAAGTCTTCTACTATTTTCCTTGGCGTCACGTCTGCTCAGCTGCAGACAAAGGTATCCAAGACTTTCTCTTCGGAGCTGGAGCGTGCGACGAAGAAGCCGCCACCCAGGATGGCGAAGCTCGCCATCCTTACCTCTTCATATGATGAGGCTATGGCGTCCGCGAATACGAACAAGACGGGCACCGCTCTCAACTCGGCCGACGTATTTGCCTCTGTACTACCTAACAAGAAACCTGGCGGCCGAATCTTTATTGGTTTCCCCACCATGCAGACGACCGGCGCAGGACTCCACATCTCGGCGCCGTCGGTCATTCCCACCGTGGAACGAGAGGCCATAGATTTGAATGCTCGCTACGTCAGATCCTGGAACGTCGAGATGCTCCGAGCCGCCGGCATCATCATCCGACTTTCTTTCGCCGATGACATGGACAAGTTAGCCCAACGCATCAACGCCTCGATCCCACAGGGAGGGAAACTTACGAGCCAAGTGGTGTCTAAGCATCTTCCTGAGGCGATGCACATCTTCAAGACCTATACCTTCGACGACTCTACCCCCAGCGCGCAAGTTGGTGAGATTATCGAACAATCTTTCTGGACTTCCTACAAGGATGTAAAGTTCAACATTTATTCCACGCGCGGCGTGAAGCTCACCTCGGACGTGCGAATTCCTTCGGAAGAACTCGGGCAGTTCGTCGATGGGCTGCCAACTGTGCCCAAAGAATTGATGGAAACCCAATTCTATAAGAAACTCTCCGACTTTGGCGTCCTTTCGCGGATCACCCTTCAAGACATACGTGACGAACTTAGTGCCAAGGCTATGACCAAGGACCAGCTGACGTCCTTCATTAAATGGGTTTCCAAGATGGCTCTAAGCGGAGAGCTCGACAAAGGGGTGACGAAGAGCTTGGTTGATGCGGCTGTGGCGACGATCAGCGACGAGAAGGGGGAGAAAGGTGGAATAGTTGCCCTCTCCGTCATCAAGAACTTCGTTACCGCAAACAGGATACCACCGACACTCCCTCTCCCTCCTGACACCCTGCCATTTGCATTTACGAATCATTGTTCGAATGCTGAGCTAGCGGCGCTTGGATGGGAGCCTCTAGAGATTTTTCCGTGGTTACAGTTCCTGATTCGCACTGCTTCGCAGAGGCCCGACAATCTCAACATGACCAAGTCACCGGACTTTTCCAAGCAAGTACTTATTGTGGTCAGTAAGAGCTGGGACAACATGTCCCCCGGAGCGAGGGCTGGTATAGCACCACTCCTTCAACAGTACACTGTCATCCCCACGAAGCTTGGTATGAAGAAGCCCGAGGAGTCCTTCTTCCCCAACGTAAAGCTCTTTGACGATTTGCCCGTCATCGAGAACTTGGGACAGGTGAAGGAGAAGCTCCTCGTTGCCCTCGGCGTCCGGAAGACCTTGGACCTTGAAACCATCTTTGCAAGGCTTCTTTCTCCTTCCTCTGGCGAGCAGAAGTGGAGCCATGTCGAGCTCATCAAGTACCTAGCCTCCGTTCGTGCCGATATCCCAACCGGCGATATGGTGAAGCTTAAGAACTCGGCGATTTGCCCGGCTGAAGCTGGACCTCCGGGCATGGGTCGATTCAAGGGGACGACTAAGCTCTACAAGGTTTCGGAACTCTTCGAACCCCAGGACTCCCTGCGAGGTCTCGGCTTGCCAATCCTATACTGGCCCGGTGCGCTTCCTCCTCGAGGCGCAGAGTCGCATTTTTTGTCCGTGCTCGGCCTGCGAGCGTATCCAACTGCGGCCGAACTGGTTGAGGTGATGGCATCGCCGGATCTCCGAACTCGGGAGAACGCCAGGACTTACTTCATCTCGAAGCATGTTGTCAATGGGTATGGTAATACCAATATCGCGGGCACGAACAAGGCTATCTTGCCGATTGAAGGAGATGAGAATACGCTTGTGCCGCCGTCGGGTTGTTTCACGGAAGAAGGAGCGTCGACTTTTGGGTTCAAGGTGCTCAGACGTGGCCTAGTTCCACATGCCCTGGTAAGGACCCCTTCTTGAACGCCTAGGAGGCAGGGTGTTTTTCGGGAATTGATTCATTTAATACTAACCATTTGAACAGAAATTCGGCGTTGCGAGATCCCCTCCCATCGACGAGTGCATCAAGCAGCTCCTCGCACATCCTCCCCTGGACGCGACAAGGGCCACTCTACTCTTCGGTTACTTTGCACAACGACTTCCTGATATGAAGGAGCCGAACGTAGCGAAACTTCGGAATGCGGCAATCATCCCTATCAATCCGCCCAACGAGAAAGGTAGTGTTAGGTTCACTAGTCCGTCCCTTTGTTACCTCGGCCGCGATTCTTCGTATGCCGACATCTTCGACTTTGTCGATTTTGGCAGCACGGCCAATGCATTTTTGTTCCGTTGCGGCGCTCGAACGGAGCCTACCAAGCGTGAACTTGCCGAGCGTGTTTGTCAGGAGCCGGCGCGGCTTCTCGGTATGCTGCAGGTGGATAGGTATCTCAATCTTCTAAGGTCTCTTGCGGAGAGCTCTGCGGTTCTCAAGTCGGACAAGACGTTATGGACGAAGCTGCAGAATTCCAAGTGTCTGCTTGCTTCCAGAGTAACTACAGCTACTACCAACGGCGCGAGTGACGATTACGAAGACGAGACGGAGATGAGGCAATATCACCTAGAGGTTCCTTCGAAGATTGTCGTTTCGGATGATTTTATCAGCTTCAGAATCTTCAAAAAGTTTCTACTTTGCGCGCCCGAGGAGGAAACCTTGGAGAACTTCTACCTGATGCTCGGAGCTCGCCGGTTGAGAAGTTTGGTTCAAGAGAACCTCAACATGGGGCCGCCCGTGAAAATGCCTGAGAAAGCGGAAAAGCTTCGAAAGCATGTGGTTGAGAGGACGAAGATCTTCTTGCATGAGTATGCCAGCGACAAGAAAGATATTATCAAACATGACGCGAAATGGTTGGAGAAGAACCTGACGGTTACGCTGGTCCAGTCAATTTCTCTCCGGAGACAACTCGAAAATCATGCAGAGACGCACACCGAAAGGAGGTCTGCGGCAAGCAAGAGTGATCGTGGATCTTGTGTCCTTTACGTGGCGGCTTCGGGGACACCTGACATGTACCAGATAGGTCAGGCACTTTGCCAGGTGATCCTTTCCAGACACAACCACCAGTCGTACACCTTCTTCGAGCCGCTCCTAACGCTAGATCTGTTGGGACTGCGTTCGCGCGGTTACAATGTCGAGCGCATCCTGCGGGCCAAGGCGGCCGAGGCCAGGATCGCCGAGGAAGAGAGGCGCAAAGCTCTCGAGGAGGAGATGAGGCGTGTCCAGGAGAGAGAGGCCAAATGGCGCGAGAGCCAGGCGAACATTATCGCAGCCAATGAGAGGCAGCAGAGGGAGCTGAAGGAGCAGAAGGAGCAGATGCCTAGCATGCCGGGGGCGTTTGGCGACGACGGCGACTTGCCGCCCAGCCCGCCTCATGTGAAGAAGAGGAGGAGTAGGGGACTCTTCTCTAACCTGACTAAGCGCCTCGGTTTTGACACCGGAAGCCAGGACGACGATGATAACAACTCGTCGAGCCAAGCAGGACCGAGCAACGCACCGACCGGTGGTCAGCAACCACAGCAGCAGCAGCAGCAAGAGGGCCAGGTCAGCAACCCGGCTTTGGTACACGAAAACCTACTCAGTGCTATCAACGCCTCGCGCCCCTACGGCTCGAACGAGTTGTTCTCGGAACCAACTATGAATCAAGTCCAGGAGCAAGGAACCTACTGTGACAGCACCCACGGCAAGAACCTAACCTTCATTGCCGAGGCCTCTTCGGGCATGAAGGTCTTCGCCGACCGCGGCGTCGAGGACCCGCAATCCTTCTTCTCCACCAACAGCGGTGCCGTCAACGCCTTTGCGAACCTCCTCCGCGAGATGGCGGACATTTACAAGGTCGCGCCTAGGGTACTTCACATCTTTTACGACACGGCCGGCGGCACGATCGCGTTCAACTTGAACGGCAGCCTGTTCTTCAACTTCCGGTTCTTCATGCAACTGCATGCTACGGGCATGGCGCAGCCGCAGGCGAAAGCGGAGGCGGGGATTTGGTGGTGGGTTGTTATGGCGCATGAGCTTGCTCATAACCTTGTTAAGACGCATAGTTCTGATCACAGCTTCTACACGTATGTTTCCTCTTCAGTTTCATTTTTTTTTTCTCTTCTGAGACTATCGTTACTAACAATCGCCTCTAGTGAGTCCTTTATCCAGGAATACTACGTGAACCTGATGAGAAGGATCGCCAGGTGGGACGCCGCAGCCGGATCGCCTGCTCCCCTACCGCCCTCGCAATCTTCTCGACCGCGTGCTCCTGCCAACCCTCCGCCTCCGTATACGGAACAGACGGTGCACAGGCCTCCGAATAATCTGTTCGATTAGGAGTCGTCGGATTCGGATGTTTTCGTGTTTGAGGCGGGGCAGGGTAGAGTTGTCCGACCGCCGAGACTGCGAGATTATCGGGGACTATAGACGAGTAACGAGTATTTGGGAGGGAAGAGAAGCGTGTATTGATGGATTGGACTACAGTCCGACAGCATTAATGGCGAGATGGCTGGGAAGATAGATAGACTTTGTGATTTGGGTTGTCTCTTTTTTTTCCCCTGCTTTTTTTTTCCCCTTTTTGTACTCAAAGTCTTTTTCGTTGAATGCATAGCTGGGCATGGGAAGGGAAACCGAGCATAGCATCTTTATTTCCGTTGTTTTCAGTCAAATTTCTCGGAAGAAGGATGGGTTTCTATAAACGGGTGGCATAGATTTTCTTCCTTGCATAGAGCAAGCGATCGATAATACAAAGCAAACTTCTCGATGTTCTCAATATCTTTCGACTTGTGGCCTGTACTTCCCAATCAAAGTCAGTGTAGGAAGGGTATGGGTTGTTTTATTTCGTAAATCATACAAAATCCAGGGCTATTACTTTTTGGATCTTCGTTTCCTCCACCATTATCAACAAGATGCAAAAAAGACCCTAGGTAGAGAAGGTTTCGTAATGTACAGGAACACAACACCTCTGTTTCGTACTGGACATATTCTTCATCCTCACCTCTAACCCAGAAGGAAAGGAAAAAAACCAGCTCATATAAACCCGAAGCACGTAAACACCCGTTCATCACCGCTCATATCCCCCTCTTCATCAACTCATTGCATCCAGGAGCCCGAGGACCTCCTGCCCTTCTCATACAACCACTTGTTATTCAAACCAACACTCGTCTTCTTCGTCCCCGAGGGACTAGGCGTCGCAGGCTCCGAGAACAAGCTGCTTCCCGATGCACGCAGGGGACTAGGCGACCCGAACGAAGACCTCCGGCCATTACCACCATTAAGCGAAGGATTGAACCCGCTCTTTCCGTTCAGGGGACTCGCGGAGGGCGAGTACGGTGAGGGCGAACCCTTGGCAGCAGTAGCGGAAGCCTTGTTAAGACTGCTGCTGCTTCCGCGGGCGGAGAGCGGAGAACCCGTTATAGAGGGCGTTCGGGAGTAGCGCGGCGGGGTGCTGTAAACGGCGTTGGGGGTGGGAGGGGCCGAGCTTGGGGGTAGGCCGAGGAGTTTGCGCTGGCCTGGGGTCAGGGGGATATCGGAGATGTCGTCTTCGGTGCGGAAGAGGGGGAGGAGGGCGAGGCCTATGTTGAGGATGGGGAGGGCTTGAAGGAGGAGGTAGGCCCAAGAGAGGATGTTTTTGGTTTGGTGGCTGATGCTGTGAGAGTAAATTTGCGTTAGTCTTGGATGAAGCCACGATTGGCTGTTTGGGGGAGGGAAAGGGCATAGACCTACATATCTGGGCTGAAAAAGGAGGTGACGGCGGACTCGGTAACCCGTTGGAGGGCCCAAAGACCGATTAGCGCGGCGATGTTGTAGGCGATTTTGCGGACATTCTTGTCCGTGAACGTGGTGGCGTTGCGACGTCTTGTGATTTCGCGTAGGCGCGGGTGGGACCAGTTTCCTGGGCTCTCGGCGACGGGGGCTGGGGTGATGGGTCGTTGGGGGGTCCGCGCGGACACGACTCTTGTACCAGAGGCAGACATGGCTTTGCCGGGTGTTGAAGGGTGCTGTTTGTTTGAGCGTTTGTTTGGGATGGGGGGGACGGGTTCTTAAGGCGGTGGCGTTTTTTTGTTTTCTTTCTGCGCACAAAAAGGTTGGATCGGGAGAGGCGTTTGGAGATGGGTCTGCGGATGGAGTCTACCTCGGGAGGATATCTGAGTTAGGAAAGTGGTCTTGCGTCGAAGTTCGAAGAAGAATAAGGGAAATATGTATGGGAGGCAAACCTTTTGAGAATGAGAATTTACCCTGCTATATGTTAGTATGTCGTCGGAATGGGTGGGCTGGGGTTGCCCCGAGGCGGCGCAGTTTGTTGATTTGGAGCTGGCGATGTTTTGATGAAGACATTCCAATCCTGGAGGTTAGTGACAATTTCAGGTGTGCCTGAAAGCTGAGGAGGTCAAGCCACATCAAACGTTGATGGATTGATGTACCAGCCACGGGGGGGTTCTGGGGGGTGGCTGGAGCTATTAAACTAATTGATCTTACACTATGAAGTACGAAGTAGTGCCCAGACTCCTGTAGAATTAATGTGCAGTAGTGTACAGGATTGGACAAGTAAATTGCTTGGCTGGAAATGTACCCTTATTTGCTAGTGCCATCAAATCAACTCGCAACTTTACTCCAGACCCGTGATTCTTAGAAAGCCTGCCCCATTCTCAACTGAACTGCATCATCAGACAAGGTGAACCCGCCTCAATACTTCCATTCCACGATTTTATTTCCACCCTTTCATTGTCACCACATTCACCACATTCATCGCAAATCAGCCTCACGCACATTGCTCTACTTCATCCTCGCTATCCTATCTTGCTATTCCCTAATTCTAATTTCTTTCTTCTTTCCTCCTCAGCACCTCATTTGTTCCCTAGATATACACGAACCGTCGCGAAACAACGGACACAATTTTTTGGACCTCGATCCGAATCGAGACTAGAAAACTATGCACCGCTGACGCGACACCATCGCCTCATCATCCTTCATCGTTTCCACCGCTTTTGCGCTCGTCGATTCCCCCAGCATCATTGATTGAGTCTTTTCGGGTTTTCCGTTCTTTTTAATTTCCATAGAAGGAGTTCTGAGAGGGTCGCGATATAGAGGGCGCATTCGGGAGCAACTACATCACAGGCCGCCATCTCTTTCCTTGGTCTCCTCTCCCCCACGATGGCCTCCCCCAACTCGTCCGACCTCGAGGCCCCGAGCTCGCCCGTCCGTGCCGAAAAGTCGTTCGTTTCTCACGTCGAAGATGACGATACGAGAATGATGGACGCAACTCCCGAGCCTGTCGAGAAGGTCTCTCGGTCCAAGGGCAAAGCGTCGCACGCCAAGGACCAAAATACGCAGTCGGTCATTGGCAAGATTCGGCATTTGAAGAAGGAGGACGGAGAGCCGTTGTGGCGAGCCGACATCCAGTACGACTGGCTGAAGGCCATTTTCGACGACGAGACCAAGGTCTTTACGAACAGCTACGAACCGGAGAAGCTTGGCAAACAGTGCTTTGCCGATCTATATATCGACACGATGGCGAGGAGCAGCAAGACTAGCAAGGTGCTACGGGACAAACTCCTTAGTGATCGGGATGCCGCCAAGGGCATGGCCATGGTGTGTCTGCTTGTCAACATCGGACGCATGAATACCACGTTGAACTGTAAGCGATGACCCTTTCCAGGGCACGGCTAGGAGCCTGGCTTCTGCAGTTATTACCCTGCGAGCGATTTCTCGCTTGCCCTCCATTCTTTGTTCTTTAGCTTGCTAACTCTAATGTTTGTCTGTAGTCTTCCCCGAGATGCGAGCTCAACTACGCACATACCACGCTATCCCATCCCTGCAGGCCCGTCAGGACCCTCACGCCTATAAACAGCTCCAAGATGCTCCTCGTCTAAAATCGATTCTCAAGGGTAGTATGGAGGATCGAGAAGAGCCCAACTCGCTTGTCGGCATTAAAGAGGCGAACATCCCCCGCACGAACCCCGTCGCTCTTCTGTTCATCATATGCGCCGCTGCGCAGAAGATCGCCGAGTTGCATTTCCCCCAAGGCCAGGAGTTCCATGACCTGGTAATGAAGACGAACTTCACTAGCCACTCCAGGGCTAGGGCGTTCCTATGGTTGATGTGGTTCTACCTTGAGTCAGACTTTACTGAAGAGGGCTGCGAGGAAAACCCCTTTGGCCCCGGCGTCGACTACGGTCTCGACGTTGCGAACCAGGGAGTGCCTGTTCTCGAAGAGATGTCGGAGGAAGAGATTGCGTTGGAGAACGTCGATACTGCCGAGGAAATCGAGTTTGGCAACGAGAAGCAGAAGATGAGAGCCAAAATCTTGGAGGCCGATCAAGCTTACATCGCGGATACCCAGGTCAAGCGAGGATCCCGCAGCCGAATGCTCGCGGACGAAGGACCTGCCATCCTACCCCGTATCCGCCCTTCGAAGCACGAGTCCGATATTGATAGCACTAGGTCGACTCCGCCCCCATCGAGGGTCATGGCACGACAGGCGGCCATTGGTAGTGCCAGTCGCCGCGGCATGCCTCCCAAATACACCATCCTCGAGGCTTCCTCACCCGCCGGCCCCGGTCAGCTTGACGGCGTCGTGACGCGCAAGCCGCGCCCACCTACCGCGCACCAACTAGCCGTGGAGCGCCACCGAAAGGAGCAAGTCGACCATATCCTCGATCGTGGTCTCCGCAAGCACTACCACAAGGTTCGCAAGCTCAGGCGCCAAGACGGTGCCATCTACCGCGCTGCAGTCCGTATCAAGGCCATGTCGGATGAGCTTGCCTTCCAAAACAGCGACGGAGAAGATGAGCCGGGCCGCGGTATCTTCTCCTCCATGAAAAAGGACGATTTCCCCTTCCGCTCGGCCGGGCCCGGCGGATTGTGCCAGCTCAAGACGGAGCCGGACGATTTCGGCGAAGAAACCAACACTTACTTCGCCGCCGTTCGCCGCGCCGTTCGGCGACTGAATCGCTGGGCCGACCTCGAGGATAAGAGCGTCATCCGCCCGATCAAGCGCAAGAGGGTCCAGCAACCCGAGTCCCAGGACCTTGGTGACGACGAACTCGACAGCTTCAGGGAGGACATAGACATTCAGATTAACGGTCATAGCACCAAGGACCACGAAGAGTCGTCGTCTCGCAAGGGCAAGAAGGATAAGGCGGCTAGTGAGGATGTTGATGCCAATGGCGACGTCCACATGGATGATGCGGACGAGCATGATGGAGACAAGCTTACGCCGCGACCTGAAGAGGACGATGAGATTGAGGAGACGCCTAGGCCCAAGGCTCGGCGTGTCTCGGCTCTCATTGATGAGGCTGATGCTGATTAGTGGGTGCCAATTTGGATAGGCCTCAAGGGTGAAGAGCGGGAAGACCATTCCCCGCAAACTGGCCGGTGAATGTGCCAGCTTCTGTTTTTTCTTTTCCGTCCTGTCTTTCTTTTCTTTTCTTGTTCATGTTTGTTCGACCATCCGGGGATTACAAGGGATACGGCGCGGTGTTATGCGGGGTGCGAGCTCAGTTACTATTCAAGCCGGGCCGGTTGTTTGTTTTACTACGATGTACCTGTTTGGGATGGGGAAATGTACAATACCCGTATGTGTTTGCACGGGACGGATGAACGGATAGGAGTGTTTTACAGTTTAAAACTGGGCAAAAAATAGATTTGATTTCTTTGTCGAATATCGTGCGTGTCCGTAGAGGATTCCAACTCGCCTAAGACTTGAGAGAATGAGCCCTGGAAGTCTACAACTCCGAGGATGACCTAGAGCTATTCTAGTACCTGTGTACTTCGTATGCCCGCTGCAAACGATGTCGTCGGCTTTCCGTGTTAGAATGCCAGACGCTCAGGCAATCTTAGTCATCACTGATAAGAAGGGGAGAAGGGGAGATGGGTGACATTGAAGGGAAGTTGACAGGTACCCACAGGAGCAAATAGCGTCGAAGTGTACATCCAAAGTACCTTCCCACTTTGACCACGTCTTCGACGAGCGAGACTGTACCTTTGTACTTGCCGTAACTTCCTGGACTTCGGACTTACTCCAGACTTCATTGTGTGATCAGAGGAAGGCCATCACCAGCACCTCGCCACTGAAATCACTCCTCCCGAACGACCCCTATTGAACGAGAACGAAGACAATAATAATCCCCGGCTTTCCGTTGTTGCCGCGGACACTATGATAATCAGCCTCAACCAGCTCCGCTAACCGTGCTCCAACAATGGGTGCTAGTAGCTCGAAACTGGTGTTCAAGAAGGGCATCTTCAGGCTCTCTGAAGAGCGGCACATACCTGCCGACGATCCGTACTGGACCTCTGTGAGTTCCCTCCTTCGAGAAGAAAATAAGAGACGAAATTTGGGGAACTGCAGCTATTCAGGGCCAGCTGCGGTTTCCTCACCCTCCCGCCCACTTCTGATATCGCAATCGTCTCTACCAGCTATTGCGTTGGCCCTAGCTCTGCATGGCCAGCTTTACTAACAGTGGTCCTGCTCCAGTTTTGGGAGCTCCCCGAGTCCTCCGAAGATGTCTTCAGCCTCTTCTCAGCCTCCGACATCCGTCGAACCCGAGACAAAGCCCTCGAGAACCTCGAAACCCTCATCCTCGCCATAACCTCCCGCCTCTTCATCCTCCGCCACCACCCCTCCTTCCCCGACCCCGAATTCGCCCCCGACCGCGACGCCCTCAACTGCATCCGCGTCCTAACCCGCCTGCTCCCCTACCTCTACGAGGCCGAGAACCTCCAGCAATGGGAAGAACGCTTCTTCTGGGGCGCCCGCCGCAAGCGCACGCGCAAGTCCGTCGTCGCCAACGAGATCCTCTTCGACGGCGGCACCGGCGACGGCCTCGACGGGCTCACGAGTCCCCGCCCCAAGCTGGACGAGTTCGAGGAGGCGAAGCCGTTGGCGGAGGAGCTCATCGATACGCTCGTCGATCTGATGTTCTTCTCGGGCTTGACGCTGCCGAGGCAGGCGAATGGGAAGCCCAAGGTTACGTATGCGATTTGGCAGAGCGGTGTCGGGTGCAATGCGTCGGTGGCGACGACGAAGGAGTTTGAGAGTAATAGGATAGAGATTCTGAGGTTGCTTTTGACGTTGGCGGGGAAGAGCATGTATATGACGCCGGCGGTGCTGCCGCAGAGGGGAGTGAGGGTGTTAACGCACCTTTGTACGTGTCCTGATAAGCAGATTGTGCTCTCAGTGCTTTGCTCGCTGCTGAATACGGTAAGTTGTTGGAAGACCGCGAACCCGCATAATGGCAGGTTAGGGACGTTTGAAACTGATAAATCCCCCCCCAAAACAATAGTCTCTCAAGTACAATCCCGCTAGTTGGAGAGTACCGTACAACGCCCTCGTTTTCAAGGACGCCAAGCAAGTCCTTGTGACATATACCCTTCAACTCCTTCTAACCCTCTTACTATATCCGATCCCAGAGGACCAAGATAGCACTGGCGCACCGAAGCGCAACTACTACCGCCACTTCCTGGGCCGGCTCCATCGGCCCCAAGACTTCCAGTTCATCGTCGACGGCATGACGAGAGTCCTACAGCAACCCCTACAGGAAAAGACGTCATACATTCCCGCGGGGACTCATTCGACGGGGACTCTGGTGCCCGAGATGATGATGCTGTTCTGGGAAATTACGCAGTGCAACAAGCGCTTCCGGTCCTTCATCATCGACACAGAGCGAGTCTACGACTTTGTCATATTAACAGTCTTTCATGCCTTGGAGTACAAGTCGGATCCGTCGAAGCAGGGCGTGGTGCGGATGTGCGCTTTCCTGCTCCAGACGCTGAGCGTTGAGAAGAACTTTGGCGTCAACTTGAATAGGTACTTCGAGACGCAGGAGACGTTACCGCCTTCGATTCGGATTGCAGGGTTTAGCGGCACATATGCCGACTTTCTCATTCATGTATGTTTCTCACAAAGAATTGCCCTTTTCCCTATATGAGTCTGAATCGCTGCTAACTAATGGGAACAGTCCATCTACAACTTGATCACAGGGAGTCAGGGCAAACTCACGGCGATCTATCCGGCCCTCGTGGCTGTCATTAACAACATTGCTGCGTATATCGAGGGCCTCAGCTCAGCGTCGTGCTCAAAGTTGATGCAGCTCTCTTCGTCCATGTCTTCGCCGTCGTTCCTCCTTGCGAATGATACGAATCATAGTCTTCTCCGCTCTCTCCTCGAGGCAATGAACGCCATCATCGAGCACCAATACAAGAGTAAGTTTTGTTTCTTGTTCACCAAGCGCGTGGGCCGTCGAGTACTAAACGAAGGATGCAGAAAACCCCGCCTTCGTGCACGCCGTGTTGAAGAACCGGAAGAAGATCGAAGCCCTACGAGCCTTTACGCTAGAAAGCGGTCAAGAGGAAATCGAGAGGCGCAACCGCCAGAGAAAGGAAGCCGCCGAGCACGGCGGTGAGCACCACGAGTCTGTGCGCAGCTCGGTTGATAGCATCAATAGCCACCATGCGGCGACGGCGCTTCACCCTCACTCCCCCGCCGTCAGCGACGTGCCCGAGGAATCCGGCGCCTTCGCCATTGGAGACGACGATAGCGATGACGATGAAGACGACCACCGCCCCACGCCCGCACAGTCCACGACGAGCGAGAATCCCTCGCAGGCCTCATCGGCCGTCGACGTCAACGATGCCGTGCCCACCCAGCTCCGTGGCATGTCCGAAAAAGCCCGCGGCAAAATGCCCGCCGGCACCCCCACCTTCTCGCGCCAAAACAGCACAACAAGCCTCCTCGAGAGCCACCATCGTTCCTCAACGACCATGTCCTCGCACCCGGGCGGCGGCGGTGCCTTCGAGCCCACGCCCCAATGGATCGAGAGCTGGCTCCCCGAACTGCCCCTCCACACGATGCTAACCGTCATCCAGCAGCTCACGGCTCTCCTCCCGCGCCAAGCCCTCGCGGCCGACCATGCCTCGCGCGAAACCCTCGCGCGCATCCAAGAGATCGAACCCATCGGCATCGACCCTTCCCCGATCCGCGTGCACACCTTCGAGTGGTCGCCGCTCTCGCTCGGCTGGTACGAGTCCCTCCTCTGGGGCTTCGTCTTCAGCGCCGAGATGCAGCCCGCCAAGGGCACCGTGGGCGTCTGGAACGGCACGGCCATCAAGCTTTTCAGGGTCCAGGAGACGGCGAGGACGGGGCCGTCGCTTACATCGCCGAGGGGCGCGGTGGATGCGGTGGGGGATAGTATTGTTTCGAGGATTGGGGCTATTAATCTGAGGACGGCGGGGGATGCGGCGCAGAGGTTGCTTGGGGAGGGGGTTACGATTCATGGGCCTGGTGGTGGGAGTGGTGCGCAGGCTGGGTCGAGGGGGGAGGGGCAGCAGCATAGAGAGGGAGGGCAGTGAAGGGGAGGTGAAGAGGAAGTTGGGATTGGAGTTTGTTTTGTACGTGGGAGTTTTTGTGTATATTGCATTTTGGTAGCGGGGATATTTCTTTCAGCAGGTGGTTCTTTTCTTTGATTGAACGACGATAATATACTTCTTGAGAGGACGATTGGTCTCTGGCCATCTTATTCCTTGGATTGGTGTGTGAACCGGACATAAAAGACTTATTACTTAGGTTGGAGAACTCAATCTGGGTATCACAGTTTATTCCATTTTTGAGTATTATGTCTATACCATGAGAAGACAAAAAGATATCTCCAGCCCCAACTCCAGATATGCAAAATCTATATGCAAAAAAGTAAAGGCCCAGAAAAATAGCAAACCATCAGCAATGATCCAGCACTGCAGGAAACTTCCTCTTCCCAATATCAAGACCAAATATCAGAGTTGCCTTTCAAAAACTGCCTCACAAGATCATATACTCATCCCCATCTACATCCCAATAGTTCTCCTCATCACTCACAACCTCCTCCACAAAACAACCACGGATATTCTCATGATTCGAACAAGATCGCCCTAAGCGCTCCCGCATGGCCAGGCGCTCTTGATATAACCTCTCCAGCTGATCCAGCTCCTCATCAAGCAAGGCGCACTTCGTCCGCCTCTCGTCTCTAGCCCGGTTATCGCACCACTGCGCAACGCCACGATTGATAGCCTTGCCAAGCATCTTCCGCGCAACCGGTTCAGACCAGAGACGACTCCAGATTAAATGCGTCCACGTGAGTGCGTGGAGTGCATCGTTAGCCATTGGGCGATGAGCACAGCAGTGGCAGTTATAGGCGTGCATAGACACGTCGCCGTCCGCGTCGACGAGGGGGTAGACCTCGGCGATGAGGGCTTCGGCGTTGGGGACTTGGAAGAGGGCGTTGAAGTCGGGGATGGTCGAGGTGATTGCTGCGAGAAACTCGATGAAGTTGTCGAAATCAGACGGGTTGGGGATCATCGCGGGATTAGGGCCGGGTCGGCTAGCGACATGGTTGTTGGCGCGGTTCTGCGGTCGCCCTCCAAAGTGTGTGTGATTACGCGCTGGGAGAGCCCCTGATGCTACGGGGAATGGGGCGACTTGGCCCATTTGCGGCTGTATTTGCCGACCGCCAACAACCGGCGGCGCAAAGTATCCGCCTTGATGTGAGGGAAGGACACGATTCCCGTGTCGGCGCCTAGGGTGGTTCCCAGGGCGCTGACGCGGGCCGTTACGATGGCGACCGTCGGTGTTGTGAGGGTGAGGCGCGACTCTGCCCGGGTGGTTCCGTCCGCGATATTGTCCCTCGCCAGCGGGGCCGCGGAATATCCTCTTGCCTCTTACGGGCCGGTTGTCGCCGTTGTTGTAATGGTGTCGACCGTTGCCTCTTTGGAAAACGTTGTTGTTAGTGAAATTGCCGCTGATGTTGCGGCGGCGAGCCATGGCTGCTAGAGCTCCTTCGAGGAGTTGATCGGAAGACTTGTTTTTGAAAAACGTGAACTTGCTCGGGGAAATGAAACTATCGTCAGATTGCCTTTGGCTTTGCTTCGTAGTTCTTCCTCGGTGTGGTTCGCAGTGAATTGCAACAACCATCGGGATCGATATGTCTCCTCATCTTATATTGTCCGAGGATGAGGATGCCTACCATCAAGCGGCCGATATCCCTTCCTATGAATGCCTTTCACTCGCCTCTCATAAAGAGGGCGGCAGGGTTCAAGGGCAACGGCGCGCCTTTTATCCTCCCGTTTCAACAATCCCTCCTCCTTCATTGAGCCTTTTGTGAAAAGGCCAGCATTGTTAATCGTGGTGGGCGCCATCAAGGCCACCCAAGACTCAAAACGTTCCATTGTTGTTAAAGAAACAGCACCGCCACTGAGGCTAAGAAGGGTGAAAGGAGGGAAGTTAAAGAAGAAGAGAAGAAACGGGGAAAAGAAAGCGACGAGATGCGATGACGTAGATGACTGTCAGGCTGGCAGGTCCAGCTGAGCCAACTCGGAAAGCTTGGTGCTGTCCTCTCAAAGCTTTTTACCTTTCTGTCTTCTTCCACTCTGCTCCCTTCTCTTCCACCCATCCACCGATGTGGTCGCCAGGGGGCCTTCCTCAGGCGCGAAACGTGAAGAGAGTAAGGTCGCACGACAATAAGAGTTCAAATAGAAATATAGGACGACAAAATTAGCGCCGGACTCTCTTTGCGGCTCTCCGGGGCTGAGACATTCGCAGAGAACAGGCATCCACATCGTGTATCCACTATGATCATATAGCACCAGGGATGGGCAGAAATAGTATGGTATAGATGGAAAATCTACTGGTCTTTCCTGTTCATATCATTTCCTGCTAGCTATGGGCTTCGCAGCTAGTTAAGTGAGCCATCAGTGGAGCCACGATGGGGTTAAGCTCATGCTGAGGGCTCACATAAACTCGGCGAAAATGGCGCCGTCCAACTTTATCTCAGTTTCCCGGCTTCCTGGGATGTCTGGTAGGATGAGAGAATTCAGTGGAGAGGTTCAAACTGCAAGGGAGATTGTACCCCAGCTTGCGGCGCAAGAGAGACTCCACGGCCGGTAAGATCCGATAAAGCCGTGGCGGCCCAATTCGAATCCATCTTCCATGGCTGTGACCACGAGCGGCGCGTGCTTCGAAAAAAGCAACTGTAAATCCAGGAACCTGGTGTCGCAAATGATGCCCAGATCTTCTGTGTTCCGCGCAGAATCTGGTCATTGGGAGACAACCCACCGTCATCGTTACTTTGTAGGCTATAGCAACCACTGCCACCGCCGCGCTCAAAGGACACTGGAATGTAAGTGAAACAGGAAACAAAGGTCCATGTCTCCAACTTGTGTCTTTGATTTGGCGCCTAGGCACTATGGAGTGTATCCTTTATTGAAAGGATACACGGCTGGCGCGGAAGAAAGAAAGGAGAAATATAATTATAGCTTCACTTGGCCTTTGAAATTCAATTGTAGAAAAAGATTTCCAACGTCTTCGTCGTCATGACTCCTAGTGATACGGGCCCAATGTACCGGCAAGTACTCACTTACGATGCCGCATTAGCGAGACGGCTTGGCATCAACCCAGACACAGCAGAACACAGCAGGGTACTGGTCTCACCGTCGTCTGCAGCTTGCAACGACCGTAGCGTGGCTCACACAGATTCTGCAACCGCCGCAGATCTATCTTCGCCTGGTGAGAAAGTCGGAGAAAAAGAAGCCTCTCAACCTTTCGTCGAGAGCTAGGCTTGGTTCCCGTTCGCGAGTTGCAGCAAGGATCTTCGCCTACATCGAATCTAGATCTCCATCAAGGACCCAGTGTAGGGAGCGGGATGGTGTGCCGTAGGTTCTCGGGGCCCGAGCCTGGCAGAATTTTTGCCAGACTGTCTCGCATTGTTCTTGAAACAAAGCAGCCACCCGAATGCGGCGGCAGCGACGCCCGCGCAGTTCCCACGACGACCACCATCACCTAGTAACCTCGTAACCTCGTACAAAGATGGTGTGGATTAATGTACCATTAACCATTGATCAAATGATATTGTGAGATCTGAATGAGTCCCTGCCACTGGGGCATGGTCGGGCCAAGGCGCGATGACGATGACGAGCTCTTTTGCTATTGTGGAACAAGTAGAGGCAAAGCGCAAAGCTTCCGCTTGATCAAGTATCAATTGATGTCTTTGTCATGGTATCTAAAAGGGGGGGAAAGATACAGAATTCTCAGTGCTCGATTTCAGGTAGCTCTTGATAAAGTCGCCTTGTGTAAGAGCCCTCTATCGACTGACAAGAAACGAAAGACGAGCTCGCTTGATTCGACTCCCATATTGGATTGGAAAACCTCGCTATTCGTACGGATACACATACCAGTGTCTGATTTCGTCCTCGGCTCGATACAGCATGGATGGGAAAATGGGAATTGCTCCAGCACCTCCTATTTACCTGGTAATCGATAGAGTCGACGTCTCTGCCCTGTCCGGCAGAATGACCCCCCGAAGTCCCTGGCTTCGGTGATGCCGGCACGGTTCGGAGGGCGACCTCGGAAGGGGGTTGGCACGTACTTCGTAGGAAAGACGGGAAATATTTCCTTCATCGCCCCTCGTGTTGAGAAAACTAAGGCTAATATTAAGGCCGCTTAAAAAGCAAGTGTAGCTGGCCAAGCCTCCAAAGGATTTGTCCGCGATTAGTATCCGCATCCGCATCTCGGCCAATTTTTCTCGCTCTTCTTTTTTTGTTGGGAATTACAAAACCGGGTGGATGGTGGCAGGACTGGCAAAGAGAGGCGAATGTGATGCATGTCAAAAGATGTCCCAGAAAAACGAAGGGGAAAAAAGTCTTCCCCCAAATCATGTCGCAAAAGACTAAATCATGTCGTGGTGGTTGGTTGCATTCTGTCTGGGCTGGCAATACTTCGTACTCAGACTTCCTTTTGGCGCATGGTGTGGTTAACCTGTTCGATTGTACTTGCCGAATGGCAATTTCTGTTACAAATCGACTCGAAGAGTTGGGAAACCACGGCTTGACCATCACCACCAGATATTCGGCCCATTGATTGATGCGCTAAAGTGAGGTCGATGACCACGTTCGATGACAAAGACAAACTGATCGGGGAAAGCGCTGCTAACGTTGACCTTCATCAGCAGCATCGATGATTGATCTCGATCAATAATACTTCGTACCTTGTAACATCGTCTATCGAAGACGCTAAGAGCTCCATTGTCATGCTAAGCTAGCTCCAAATGGCCCTAGTAACCACACATGAAGGAAAGCACAGGTACGAAACGTTTAAATCGCCACTAGCACGGTCAATGTCAAACTTGTATTGTTACTCTGATAGTTGGGATCAAATCCTTGGGAGTGAGCTTATTCATTGTTATTGCTGGGAGGTTGGGGCTCAACAGGAGTTGTTTCTATGCATGCACGATCCAATTCGAGTTGACGCACGCAAAGTGTGACGCATTGTTGATCTTGTCATCTCGGTATGCAACTCCTTCATAAGCAGGCGTTGCATGTGGCTGATGTGAAATTTTCAATGTTAATTGATCAATCAATTCGCACCTTCTCTGGTTCTGGGCGCTTGGGTCAAGTACGAAGTACAGGTCGGCAAAGATCAGTCGGTTGATTAGTACTGGGACAGATCACTTGGCAAGAGCAGCCTCCAAGTACTCCAAGTATCCAGTCCCAGACGAGAAAGAGCACATGGCTTTCTCTTCTCTTTGGAGCCAAGTCTATTGAGAAGGGTTTATCAATGTTTAGCAGAGATAGTACTGAGTACGAAGACATACCGGGATCTGAGGCTATCGTGAATGAACCCATTCATCCCATTTATACTAATAGTTCTGTTGAACGAAGCGCAAATCCGAAGCTCTGCCCTGACAGTTCGCTCCTTCTCCAAGTCTGACCGCAATAGTAAACTAGTTTACTTCGTACGAGGTAGGAGCTGTGCTATTGTTATGCATAACTGGCATTGTTATCAATGTGATTGCCTGCTATCTTGCGTCATCAGCGTGCTTCATCGCCTGGTGGAAATTCCTGGCATTCGATTTTGTTTACAGGCCCTTGCCACCGCCCTACGATGTCCGTGCCGTCCAATTAGGGCCCGGCCAAGCCCAGCCAGACCTTGTACCCCTGACCGTTACTGCGTGTTTCTGCTAATCATTGCGCAAGGATGTGGTACTGATACAAGCCAGCCCACTTCGCGTACCCTGGGCTTTGAATCGCACCACCATGACCGATTACGCAGTGGTTCTCATGGAAAAAGTGTATGAGACTTTGAGCAACGGAAGACGAAGTACAAGTAGTTATACCTTCTTGAGGTTCTGAACCATGATAAAAGCAGATGTCTCAATTGGCACGGCACACCCCTGCTCTGCCCGCAGTTTTCCACCTCCTCGTCGCTTTCTCACCCAGGCTGATGGTGCGACCGAAGGAATAGCTTCGGTCGGCTAGGTAAAGTAAACTTCCGGTCCTAGACGCCGTCCTCAACCTGACCCAGAGCCTGGGCTTGAGCCAGATCCTATCGTGATGATACCAGGAGGAGGGGACCTTGCCTACCTTGCCTAGCTTCTAAGTCGGACGTATAAAACTATATCTGATCGTGGATGCCTCCATCACCTGCTCTCCACCCAATTCCTCTCAACGAATTTGCGAGCTTCTCCTCCTCTTGTTGTCCTTCCTTCGTCCTCTTCCCTCCGTACCTCTCTCCCTCCCTCTCCCCTCCCTCTCTCTAATCCCGTGTCACCTCTCGCCACCCAATCTATTCCTAACCCGACTGGGAACGATTAGAGCTTTTCTTTCTTGAGCTTGTCCTGCATCAGCAATAAAAGCCAGTCCGGTTGCTCCTTTCTAGGTTTTGTGCTTCTTCCAGCCACCTCCACCAAGAAAAGCATTGTGCTTGTTCCCTGTGCATTGCATCTCTGTTGCTGCCATTCTTGCATCTCGTCATTTGTCTCATTCTTTCCTGGGACCCATTGTTGTGTTTTTCTTCTGTTCTTTTTTCTCTTCTTCTTTTGAACCCTCCTCCTATCTCTCGTCCATTGTGTCTGTCCCATCCTGTCCCACCCTGTCCTGTCCCTGGTTCTGTGCATCCTTGACCTGTCTGGACCTGTTTGGATATCCTCGACCTCGACCTTGACCTTGACCCACTTCCGTCATCCAGAGCTCCCCATAAGCCAATTGGAGGTGAGTACTTCGTGCTTCGTATACCCCAAGCATCAGTCAATTCCAAGCTCCTGCTCCATTCTCACAATCGGGCTCTTCCTTCCCTGGCTGGCCTGGCCCAGTCCATCCAATCCCCCCTCCAATTCCAATTCCAGTTCCCCTCCGATCCTCCAATCCACGCCACATCCCCTGTCTGCCGCACAGCTCGTGCTCTTTATCCGACCACTCAATCCGCTCAATCAACCCATCCTCCCCTCGAGCACATTGACGTCAGTCGAATGCGGCCATGCTTGGCACTCATCAGTCAAGCCCTCACGCACTCTTAAACTGACCTGAGCTTCTCTTCTCTCCGCTTTCCTCGAACCTAGATCACCTGTTCTTCAAGGCGTATCGAGCCCTCCAAGGAAAAAGAATTCAGATTGTTAATATTATTTTAATTCCAGTCCATCCTATTCCCATCGCATCACATCGTATCGGGCCAATCCCTCCCCCCTGCTCGACACCCCTCGTCCCGTTTCTTATCTGTCACCAGTCCTCGTTACTACCACACCTCAAGGGACCAAGACAACAAGAAACACTTTCGAGTCCATCGCCATGTCGTCTCCGACTCATCAAAATTCCGTTCGTGGCGACACGACTCGGGATATGCTCAATCACCTCCTTTTCGAGGTTTCCACCGAAGTGGCAAACCGAGGTAGGTAACGCTGTGGAGCTCCCGAGAGCTATCCGAAACCGCTCCTGCACTCTGTCACCCTTCGCTGCGCGCAGTCTTGCAACATCCCACCCAAGCCTCACGAGCAAAATAGAAGTGCTGACAACGGCGATCAATCACAGTGGGCGGTATCTACTCTGTCATCAAGTCCAAGGCTCCCGTTACCACTCTCGAATATGGCGACCGATATACGTTGATTGGTCCTTTGAACAAGCGATCTGTAAGTCGATTGTAGAGCTTCCAGCTAAGCGCAAATCGTGCGGCTTTCGCTGTAGGCAACATTGACTAACACATGGATTTTTTTTCTTCTTTCTCTTGGATTAGGCCGCCGTCGAGGTTGAAGAGATAGAACCTACGAACCCCGAGATCAAGGCCACTTTAGATTCCATGAGAGAACGCGGCGTGCACCTCGTCTACGGTCGTTGGCTCGTGGAGGGAGCTCCCCGCGTAATTCTGATCGACACTTCGACCGGTTACCAGTGGCTGAACGAGTGGAAGAGTGATCTCTGGAACAGTGCTGGAATTCCTTCTCCTCCCGATGACCATGAGACCAACGAAGCTATCGTCTTCGGATATCTCGTGGCTTGGTTCCTCGGCGAGTTTGTGTGCCACGAAAAGAAGAAGGCTGTTATCGCCCACTTCCACGAGTGGCTTGCCGGCGTTGCCCTGCCTTTGTGCAAGAAGCGAAAGATTGATGTCACCACCGTCTTCACCACCCACGCCACCATTCTCGGCCGCTACCTTTGCGCCGGTTCCGCCGACTTTTACAATCACCTTCAGTGGTTCGATGTCGACCACGAGGCCGGCAAGCGCGGTATCTACCACCGCTACTGCATCGAGAGGGCATCGGCGCATTCGTGCGACGTCTTCACCACCGTTTCCCACATCACGGCCTACGAGAGTGAGCACCTGCTCAAGCGGAAGCCCGACGGTGTGCTGCCCAACGGCCTCAACGTAACCAAGTTCGCCGCCGCCCACGAGTTCCAGAACCTCCATCAAGCTTCTAAGGAAAAGATTCATGACTTTGTCCGAGGCCACTTCTACGGCCATCTCGACTTTGACCTCGACAACACCCTCTACTTCTTCACTGCCGGCCGTTACGAGTTCCGGAACAAGGGCGTTGACATGTTCATCGAGTCTTTGGCCCGCCTCAACCACCGCCTAAAGTCCGCCGGAAGCACCGTCACAGTGGTCGCCTTCATCATCATGCCCGCCCAGACGACGCATCTCACCGCCGAGTCGCTCAAGGGCCAAGCCGTCATCAAGTCTCTGCGGGATGCTGTCAGCGTTATAGAGCGCAACATTGGCAAGCGTCTCTACGAGCGAGCCCTACGATGGCAAGAAGGAGATTCCCTACCCGAGGAGAAGGATCTCCTCTCCAATCAAGAAAAGGTTGACCTCCGAAGGCGCCTGTACAGCATGAAGCGTCACAACCTCCCTCCCATCGTCACCCACAACATGGTCAATGATCACGAGGACCCCATCCTCAACCAGCTCCGCCGCGTCAGGCTCTTCAACGACCGCTCCGACCGAGTCAAGGTGGTGTTCCACCCCGAATTCCTCAACTCCTCCAACCCCGTCCTGCCCCTCGATTACGACGAGTTCGTCCGCGGCACCCACATGGGCGTCTTCCCGTCCTACTACGAACCCTGGGGTTACACCCCCGCCGAGTGTACCGTCATGGGCGTGCCCAGCATCACGACCAACCTCTCCGGCTTCGGTTGCTACATGGAGGAGCTCCTCGATTGCGGTCCCGAATATGGCATTTTTATCGTCGATCGCCGCATGAAGGGCGTCGACGATTCCGTCAACCAGATGACCGACTTCATGTTCGAGTACTGCCTCAAGACTCGCCGCGAGCGCATCAACCAGAGGAACCGAACCGAGAGGCTCAGCGACCTTCTCGACTGGAGGAGGATGGGGCTCGAGTACAGCAAGGCCCGTCAGCTCGCCCTCAGGCGCGCGTACCCTGACGAGTTCCCCGAAGACGACACCCTCTGGGACTGGGTCCCCGGCGTCAAGCAGAAGATTGGCCGTCCGTTCTCGGTTCCCGGATCACCCGGTGCTCGGAAGGGTACGATGACCCCTGGGGACTTTGCCAGTCTTCAGGAGGGCAAGGAGGGGTTGAGCACTGAGGATTACATTGCCTGGAAGCTCCAGTACGAGGTCCCCCCTCCTAAAGAGGCCAGCCTTGTTAAGGCCGACCCATTATTCGTACCGCCAAACAGTCTCACTAACACCCTTTCCAGGGATGACCACGAGGATGACTACGAATGGAGCGTTGCGGTTCGACCGAAGCCCTCGGGTCCTGCGAGCCCGATCGACACGCCGAAGGCCGTCGACGCAGAGAACGGAGAATAGAAAAGTTGTATGGAGCTTTGGGATATCAGACCAACTGGGTGAACTCTGCGAGTACCTTGTCCGAAGCCGAAGTGTACGTCTTGCATTTGAGGGTGTGGAAGGTAATATAATAGCCCTGCAAGATTGGGAGACGACGGCGCATACACGAAAGGAGAGGTAAAAAGAGGAGGTTTGCATCATCGAAAACAACTAAAAACTGGCACGATTTGCATTGTTCTTTTTTTTTCCTGAAGCCGTTTTTGCCATTTCTTTTTGTTCAAAGTCTTTCCACATAGCTTTTTTTTTCTTTTCCTATCCTAGTGGCTTCTCTTACATTGCGCTCATCTTCTTAGCTTTTCTCAATTCATTACATGGGGTTCCTGGAGTTTTCATTTGCTCCTTGGTTCAAGGTTTCGGTCTCGGTTCTTGGTACTTGGTTGAACCGCACTCCTCAGGCCCGTCCCGTTTCGCAACTCGATCACGTCAAATGTTTTCCGTCGAAACCTCAAATAGGATTGTCGATGGGTACTCGGCAACGAGGAGGTATTCCAGCAATGGAGAGAGGAGAGCTGGGCCGGGAAGGATTGGGGACGGGAGGTAGCGGGGGTTGGGGACGGGAGGTAGCGGGGGTAGGAGACTTGGGTTAGTGACGGCGAAGTGAGAGAGTAAAAGGGTAGGGGGGGTTTATCTGAAGCACTCCGCCCTTTGTTTGTGTTCATTGCATTGGGTTCCTATTATATATATCGATACGCATTTTACCAGTTCTAGCGCGCGTATATCTCTTTAGGACCGAGTAAGAAACTTGCCGCGTGTGTATGGAGACTAAGCAGTGTATGTATGTATGTATGTAAGTTCCTATGAAACACGATTCTCGGCATATGGATAGACGCTTTGTTTTAACTGACCGAATGCGTGTTAGTATGCCGTTTGGTTAGTTCACGTTGCGAAGAGTCGTCGTGATCCGAGCTGGCGGTTTTCGTATCCTTTGTTACGGGGGCCATTCCGAAAACCCCAAAGTACTTGCGCCTGATAGCTTCCATCTTCGGTTCATACAGCATAGGGTCCAGAAACCCATCTATCTCGTCAGCCCAAAATCCATTCAGAGGATTGGCATTCTCAGTACATATATCCTCCCAATACAGCGAAAACCATCCCGCCGTCTCCCAATCCACAATGGCTACTACTTCATCGGCCCGGACTAGGATGTTCAGACTGCTTAAGTCGCCATGTGTCAAAACTGGCTCATTACTCGACTTGCGATAGAACTCGAAGACCTCGGACACTTCTCCTGATACATTCGCATATTCGAGATCTATGTCCGCGTCGCCAGCGATCGCCTCGTGAAAGGCCCGCGCCGTCGCATACGGACCTCAGGAAATCTTTGAGGGTATTCGACAGTCCCAGAACGGTCCGCCCTCGACGTCGCTGACGCATGCGCCTTCGGGTGGAGGGATAGAGCGGAGCTCGACGACCATACGGCGGAGCTAGTTGAGAATCTTGTGGGTGAAGGCGCAATAGCCTTTGGCTACGGGGATAGAGGTAATATGTTGGGCGACGAGGTGCATTGCATGGGCTTCTGCTAGATTTTCGAAGGGTTTGATTTTGATGCAGAGGTTGGATATGGATATTATACCAAGTGAGGGCTTCCATAGCCGTGAAATGGATTTCTGGTTCCGGGTCTTGATGGCGAGAAAAATGAGGAGGCGGGCCGGGAGGGCAGCGTTGATGGGCTCTGACTTCGACATGGATTCTTCCTACGGCGTTTTCTTTATATTCCAGAGGGATGGGATGGCACCCACGGTGTGATTTCGGTGGTCCATAGGCAACTATTACTGCTGCTAGAGCTCAGGGTTGCTCAAACTTGTCGGGTTGGCCAGAGAAATGGTCGATATGGCCGGTCGATTCAAGACGCAGTGCCAAGGGGCATATTATGACGACGTCCTTCGAGCAAGATCCTTCATCTTGCCTACATTTTGCGCTGTCGATGCGAGAGACCTAAGCCATCCTACCATCTACAGTAATTACAGCTGATCCTACACCCGACGCCAAATTTAGCATGAAAGAGAGCGAGGAGTATCATCCCAAATAGCCGTCCAAAGCATGCGCAGGTGATGATCTACCTTTGGACACAGGCTTTAGCGGGCTGTCCGGGAGGGCAGATAGGCGTCACAGTGGTCTGGAATGTGACGAAGATTCCTCTGTCACTGATCCTACAGAGTACAATACAGATCGTAATGATGTTTCTGCGGAAAAGCAAAGATGCCCCTTACAGCGCGTGCGCGGTTCAATTGGGAAACCGTACCCGAGCTCCGGTGACGAAACCGTTGAAGATTGATTTGCAGAATGTCGTCCTTGTCTCGCCGACCTCACCTTCCAGGCCAATGCATTCGTTGACGTCCAACGGACTGCACCTGCCTCATCCCGAAGCCGGTGACGCCTTCCTCGCTCCCGGCTTACCTATAATGGCGTATAATTGTACAATTGCAGCTTCCCTAGCTATGGCGAGCAGCAACGAGTTCAATTGCAATGAGGATTCTAGGGAAAGAGCTACTCTTACCCAAACATTTTGGCTTATGAAGAGGGAAGGATTAAAGCACTTCATTCTTCTCCTGAGCTTCCAATGACCTTTACCCCAGCAAGTTTTGAGTGAACTTCCGTAATACAATACAATATACTTCGTACCCCAAGTTGCCATTGCCCATTGTCTTATGAAACCGACCGGTATTAATCCTCCAGATCAAATCGAATCAAGCTCTTTATCACACCGTTCCCCCCTGATCCTGGTCCTCTCGGGCTCCAGGCTCCTGCTCTCTCCTGTCCTTTTTCATCTCATCTCAGATCAAACCTCATTGTCTTCCCCGCTTCCCCGCTCATTGTTTCCAAGTTTAATTCCATCAAACCCCGGCCTCGCTGTGTTCAAGGATCGAAACAACATTGAATATTCCACAGCCTTAGTTTATCACTCCTATTGAGAGCTGCAACTAATCCTCACTTTCCCCCACTCCTTCACCCATTGTAATATGAATTATTATATTTGATTTTTCATATTGCCTTCTCACGAAGTGCGTTCCATTCATTCGTTTGGCACCGCGCCAAACACAGCTGGCTCGCCTACTATTACCTGGGGACCTGCGAATATCGGTGTTGTCATAAGAAGAGAGACATTGAAGATTGAGCTCCTGCTTTTTCTGCACTCGGTAAGCCCTAGCTCACGGCAGTGGTTGGCTGCTCCTCTAGCGTTAGTGTAGCCCTTCCCCGTTTCACATTGCATTGCATTCTTCCACATCTGTCCAACCACGACGTCCAGGTTTTTGGCTTTTATTTTATACGCTAGTTGGGGACACTGGGGCAAAAGTCCCTTGATTGGAAAACAGATCTACTCCACTGACCATCCCGCATCCCTCTCGGCTGCGACATTGCGATCCATTGCACTGGGGAATCTAACGAATCACGACAGGGGAGCATCGTCATCAGTCCTTGGAATTGATCCAAAGCCGCCGGGGTTCTGGCTCAATTACCAACAGTGTCTGCTCATTAGGTTTGATCCTTCCCCGTTTCTCCTCTCCCCTTCCACTCTTGTGTTGTGACCTCAAGAAATCGGAACGAGACTCTAACAGAAGAAGACATCGGCGCCAGTTCTGCGCTTACAGTTGTGGGGGACTGCGCTAGCTGTGCCTAATTGTGGACCACTCAGACCCCTTGTTATTTCTTTCGTTCCCCTCCCTCACTATTACCACGGACGCCCGGTTTTCTGTGGTGGCGGAGAATCGACAACCTTCCCCTTCACAACCTCAGAACGATGAAGTTCTTCAGGAGGAAAGAGAAGAAAAAGTCCTCTTACCTGGACATCCCAGGTAGCACTTCCAGCTTCTCCGGTCGCCGCGGCTCCCAGCAAGACGTCGATGACCGGTTTCGATATCAACGATCGGGAACTACCCCACCTCCCACTCTAGCCTCGTCGAGAGCGCTCGCCCAGCTCGCACCAACCGTCCTCGAGCGCATTTTTTACTTTGTCTGTCCACAATCACTCGACGAATCCTACGAGACCTGTGAACAGAGTGCTGTTGAGGATGCGTGCATGCTCTGTGACTTGAGAGACCTCGCCCATTGTGTGCAGGTTTGCAGGGCATGGCATCCGGCTGCGAGAAAGTTACTGTAAGATCGATCTCGTGCTACAGGGGCTACAAAATTCCCTTCACTTCTTATGTCCTTCCTTTGTCCTTGCACTTTCATCCTGCATTACTTCACCACTTTTTCCTCCCTTCTTAAGCTGTTCTCTATCATTAGTTGTAGACAAGTTGTCTATTTTTCAGTTTAGCCTTTGTGGACCTGTATAAGCTAACAGATGAGTTGCGCTCCCTCGTGGTGCTGCATGTTATCAATTTTCTAGTTACCATAGCATTCGTATCGATTCCGTACATTACTGCGAACGCGAAGCCTACCTCGCCGAACGTCGAAGGCGCCGCACTTTCGACCGAAATGGAGAGCCCGAAGATACCGCTCATGCTCGCCTCAAGCTGCTCTGCCGCACTCTGCGCGACGACCCTACTCGCCTCGGTGCGCGTGTGCACTTCCTAAAGACGCCTTATATGCTACGAGAGAGCTGCCAGGCAGACCTTGCGCGCACCATTGCTGTTTTGCCCAACTTGCGCTACGTCGACCTTCCAGAAGGCCTTTTTTCCGACGACCCCGCCTTTTCCACGTTACGCCTCGAAGTCCAAGCGAGATGCGCCGATCTGAGGAAGATGACATACATGTCGGGTTCCGAGAGAAGCCTAGAGCTTCTAGCGAGGGGCCTCCTATGGAGGAATCTCGAGGTGTTGGAGCTGATCAGGTTGAATGTGGATCCCATCATACTGCGACACGTCCTTGGCGCTTTAGCCAATCTCCGTGCGCTCAAGGTTACCGAGATGAGGAGCTTTTCCGACGATGTGTTCGCGTACAATGAAAACCTACCTCACTTCCCAGCTGTTTCGGAATTGATTCTGAAGAAGACGCCGAGAGTGACGGAGGCGGGGCTAGTGGAGTTTTTGAGTAGGCCCGATGCGAGCTCTGCTCTGACTGTCCTGTCGTTGTGGAAGACCGGAGTCAAGCCTACCCGCGTGCAAGATGTGTTAGAACACGCACCTAACCTAAAGGCTCTTTCAATCTACGACACGGTAGACGCTGCTATTCCGAGCGGCGCGGGCTTGAAGAGGATGGCCTCGCGGTCTCTCGAAACAATAAGGTTCGAGGTTAACAACCGTTCGGATGACGGGCCTTACTCAACCGCCGCGGCCAGTCACTATACCTACTTCGCCTCATCTATCCTAGCTGGGGGCCTTCCTCGACTACGGGCAGTCTATGTTCGCGACCCAACCTTCCCAGATCAGCTCCTCGGCATTGATTTGCCCCCCGTTCCTACTTTCCCTAGCAGTGGGCGCCCCTCCTCCTCACATGGCGCTGGCTCTCGGCAGTACCCGCCACCGCCGAACAGCTATCATAACCTTTCCCTGTCGCCACCGCAGAAGCGAGCACTGGACCCCACGGTCCGTTTTAGTTCAAACAACCCCTTTGCGGGGACCGGTGCTCTGACCCACACGCTGGAGGTGTTCACGAAGAGCGAGGAGTCGATGGATTGGAGTTTCATCAAAGTACAACCGTTGAACGGCGGCGGCAGCTCCTTCGGTCCCCAGTCCAGATTTAGCGGCGGCGCGAGAAGAGGCAGCCAGTCACAGCGTCCGACTAGCAGTTACGGATTGGGAACGGACGTCACCGGTATGGGCTGGAATACCGGTGGTGCACGACGTAGTGTCATGGTTGGGAACGGGACCGGAGGATTCCTTGCTATCCCGAATGACTCCGGAGGGCGTCAGCAAGATGAGCCTGAGCTGTGGCCGCGACCGAGAAGCAGTGCGGGGGAGAAGGGAGACAGGGATTTATGGCGCTGAAGAGAAGAAGGGAAGGTTACGAGAAGCACGCGTGCGGGGAGGAAATGGCTTTTTTTTTTTCTCTTCACCGCTTTAATCAGAATGCGACGACCTTGGTGACTCTTTTCGGCTCATACTATGAAGTCAGCAACCCTCAGAAGCCGAGAATGAGAGCGACCGGTATTGAGCGAGGCCGACATTTGAGAAGGCATTCGATGGATCCAGAGAGTGGGCGTGGGAGGGTCCGGATGTATATATCTGGGAGGTGCACGGGAAACTTCGTGATCCAAAGGACCCAGTATGTTTGTGGTAACGTTGAGCATATCCGATTTGGATCACGCGCCGCAAGAACACCAATCCTTACAAATGAAAGATATCACTATTCCTTCAAGGAAAGCAGATCGGAATCTCTGAATTCTCTCGTCTATTTGGCAGACGGCTCTCCTTGGTTGGGAGAGACAGGAGGTGGAACGTTAATGAAAGAAAAAGGAGAATCCGCACCTAGGAAAAGAATTAACAAAAAAAAAAAAAAAAAAAAAAAAAAAAAAAAAGCAGCCGCCCAGATAGTTTCGTTTGCCTGTAACACCATAGCCTCTTATCGTCTGCGTTTCTTCTTTCCCTTTTGGATTTTTGATTTATACTCTGCGATGACTTTGGGCAGATTGCTTGTCCCTGTGGTTCGTTTTCTTCGACATACCCCCATTTTTGAGTGTTCTCTACGCCGCATATTCTTTCAAGGTTGAGCTGGGTCCTTTGTTTCTGAACTCGCGATGAATGTCATATGAAATCTAGCATTTTGTCTCTTTCTTTGATAGCTCGAGTTTCCCGGTTCGCCCAGGAAGCTAATGAAGGCGACGAATAATTAAATACTACTGCTCTCCAAAACGATACATGTTTTAAGAGCGTGGAGAGTTGAATCGGCGCCCTTGTGAACGGCCCAAGCCATTATCCAAGGGATTTTACGAATCTGGGGACGACCCCGAGGACGACTAAGAGGTGATCTATACTCGACAGGCGCCCTCACACAGGTCTCCTCTTCAACCAGACTAGCCCAAAATCCACTGGGCTGCGGGCTTCCCATGAGCGGATGAGAATTCCTCGAACGGACTGAAACAGACACGTCCAACTCTCGGCCTTGTATCTGAGGTGCCCTAAGTGCAAGAGAGACAGGAGGTTATCTCGGGGTTTACAAGGCAAAACACAGTTCTTTCGAGGAGCGGGGTGGGCTACGAGAGGGGTCGGGTTAGACTTGAGGCGGGACGTGAGGCGTTGTGTTAGACCCCGACCTTGTTGCCGCTCTCGGGTTTCACTTCACTCGATGCTGCGCCGTAGGTGATTCGTTTCGCGGATCTATAAGCGACAGGGACTTGAGGTTCGGGTGGGATTGAGGTTCACGAGTCGGGACGGAGGGGTTTTGTTGAGAGAGGTTGGAGTGTAGCAGTGCATGGGAACGATAGAGAGGTAGGAGGTTTGTGCTCGTCTAGAGGATGAATCGGACATGGCATACAGTAGAAAATGGAGGTGGCTGATCCGGTGGCGCCTTGATGGTTTTACGCTGTGATGGGAGAAAGGCGATGTAGATGGCTGGGTTGGGAGAGGATAGGCTTCGGGCGGAGACCTATGAGGAATAGGGGATGGTGGGCGGACTGTGTTCTAGATTGTGAGTGGCGGTGATATCAGGTTCCACTTACTCGCCGGCCTCGGACAGAAAAGGAGAAGGGGGTAATATCAAAGACACTTACGAAGGAGAAGAGTGCTGTTCATTCTTACTCTTTCCCGATTGTTCGCAACACTCTTGCCTTGTGAGACGGTCAAGTGTTATTGGACTGATATTATACGAACTGGGGGCTGGAAAGCTAGAGGCAGGCCTCGAGGAAGCGTCCCGCGAACGATCTTTGAGACCTTCTATCGATCTATGTGGTATTAGGAATAAAGGAAGACTTTCTCATTGACTCGACATTGAAACCTCACCGGCCTCGCTAACTGTCTCGAGATCAACGGGATCGAGTCCGCATGTACGCCTTCGCACGCTCGACCTTCCCACCTTCCAATACAGACATCTGAACCTGCCACGGAGTTTTCAGTTAGAACTGCCATGGAACTTCCTAGACACGCTGCCCAGGCTTCCCGCCACAATGTGATCAGGATGGCTGGTTCCAGAGACATAAATGTGTGAGTTCCCCCGCCTTGTCATTCTAGCGGCCTCCTCTCAACAGGTCATCTTGCGTGGGCAGGGTAGAGATAGACGAACGCTGTCAACTGACACGCGCTTCCAACTAGCGATATATCATATATCATCCCTTTCCTTCTTTCCATTCTCCTCATTTCAAATCAGAAATGACGGACCACGACCCCTATTTCCAATGGATATATGACATCAACGAGGGCGGGGTTTCGAGAGACAAGAACTAGTCTCTGTTTCAGTCTCAGGTCTCTCAGCAAGACCCTGAACTCTAAGATGCAGCCAGATGTCCCACCCCCAGCCAACTGTTATCTCACATTCGCGCCCATTCGCGAACTTTTGCACGAAACCAATGTCTTATACACCCCCGCGCCGGTCCTATTTTCCAGGACACATGATCTGTGGATGATCGCTGGGACTAAGCCTCAAGCGTGCCGTGAGGTTGTCTTTGAACGTGTCAGCCACCTGTTCGTCCCCGAATAGCTGGAGGGGGGAAAGAGGGGCTTGGTCCTTCTGTAAAACTCTTTTTAACTTTCGGCTTTGTGATGCCGCGCTGATCGTTTTGCAGGAGACTATGAGGAGGTGCGTGGTGCAGAGACTTGACTCACTCGCCTGGGGCGGCGGATAGTCTTTTTTATCGCATTACCCACCCCATCCTGGCGATATTCCTTCGGCATAAGTCTTTTAGGACTTGGGGCTTTACAGTAAATGGCTTTTGGCATATCACAGGAGGGGATAGGACGTGGGAAGACACGTCCGGTCTGACGGCATCTCGGGAACCGATCGTCGGTTTTACGAACCCGCCCCCGTTGAAAAGTGCCCAAATGTCTTGCCTAGAGTGAATTGGAAGGCGGGGATGAGAGGTACATGGCGGACAGTGTGCGGGATTCTGAGCCATGAGCTAGGCGAGCTCGGTGATGGGCAAGTTGTCCGAGAAGGCGGAACAAGAGTTCACGTTGATCGGTAGGCAGGGCATGGGTCTTGTACGATATGGACTTGGGAAACGAGACTCATATAACCCTTTTGGGCAATAGAGCTTTCTAGAGAGAGAGGTTAGCATAGGTTCTGGTGTGATGGGGACAAGGTCTTGTAAGTGAGAGATGAGTCTGACATGACGAGTGAATCAGGAGAGAGGAGAAATGGGCGGGATTATTAAGGTGAGAAGTGTCTCTGGAGGGAGAACCAGAGTGATGGTTGAATGTGGCCTGTATATAATATATTGGGGAGGCTCCTTTAGCTGGTTAGTCGGGGATGTTTCTGGATGAGAGTCGAGATTTCAGATGAGATGAGCAGAGTGGTTGAAAAGGAAGAGCGAGAGAGGTAGGGGACAGAGCACTTTTTGGCATGTCTCCGATCTAAAGTGGTGTTACTGAGTGGGATTTAAACCTGTTGATGGATGGATGTGTCGACTCTGTTTAACATCAGACTGAATGAGTGAACGAGTGAACGAGACAGATTCACATTTGACAACCAATTTAACTCTTCCGATAAACCCGCTCAATGGTCATGAGGGCCATCATCGCGGTTAAACTGAAAATGATATTATTTGCTGTAAGAGAAAAATAAAATTCCCCAAGAAAAATATCAGGGTCCAAAAAGAAGGGTCCGATGAATCCTTCACGATATCAGCCACCCGAAGGACCTCAGGTCCCTGAATTCTGCAATACCCTTAACGACGCGAAGAAAAATAACAACAAAATACGATTCCTTGCAAGATGGGAGAGAAAGAGAAAAAGAAAAAGAAAAAGAAATATGAAATCTTGTCATAACAATGTCTGACTCGAGTTGTCTCCCCCTTTTTTTAAAACTCCACAGTTCCCATCGAGCTAAACTTTGCTTCTTTTGCCTTGCCCATTTCGGCGTTTGAAAACGGGCATCTCCCCAAAACGATTGAGCTGGGGATATCAGATCTCATCCTACGAAAGGACTCATAGTACTAAGGTAATATACGAGGTCTTAAGAAGCAAAAAACAAGCTTGGACACGCAAAAGGGCTTCGTAAGGATAACGCACACCCGCTCAACCTCAACCCTTGTCGAATAATATGTTTCGCAGTAAACATGGGTCCCTGCCTGCTCGAGTGTTGAGAGGCCGAGGGGATGGCCACGATGTCGTGCACGTTGCGTGCGGGACAAAAATGTGAAACGAAACTTGTTTGTTGCGGGGAACGGATCGATGGGCAAAGGGGGAAAGGCTTGCCGGATCCTGTCGGACATGATATCGACTTAGGAAGGACCTCGTCGTTTCGTGGAACTTGTTTCCACTTCCCTGGGCAAAGGGAAATGGAATTCCCCGTCATTGAATTCTTGTGGAATGGCAGAGGATGATTCCCGATGCTTCCTCTGTTACTCAGGCCCCCCGAACAAAAGAGCCTCTGGACCCTATTGCCCTGCCACCCCAGCAGGAACGGATTTATCTACACACCACAGCCTTCAAGTCTTGTTTCTTTTTAAGTCGGCTGAGGACGAGCCGACTGGATGGAAACCGAAGTAAGTGCTGACAGGAACTTGCAAAATAAACCAAGCCTCTCTCACTCTCACTCTCACTCTCATTCTCACACCTCTCTGCCTCTCGCTCAGCCCGAGAAGGCGAAATATTTACAGGCCAATATGACGTGAGGATGATAGACGCAGGTCTCAAGTATACAGATATCACTCGATGACTCTGGGGTCTCCGAGTTCACCGCTATTGATGCGAAGTCCAGGAAAATTTTAGAAAACCACACTACTCTTTTGCCGAAGCTGCGCATATGTGGGGGGCATCGAATGTCCTGCGTGCTCCTGCCAGGCGAACACATCACGCCTTGATGCTGTCCCTGCAGGGACAGACAGGGACGGACT